TATTTCTGTATCTTCTTTCTAAAAAAAAAAATCTCTCTCTCTCTCTCTCTCTCTCTCTCTATATATATATATATATATATATATATATATATGCACACACACGCGCGCTCACACAGACACAGACACACACACACACAAACGCGTGCACACGCACACACGAGCGCAAACGCACACACGCGCGCACACAAACGCAACAAAAACAAATCAGCCCCTGTCCACATACCCGAGTGACGCCCCTTAATATTCTGAAAAGACAACTTTTCAAAGGCGTCCCTGTTGGAAGACTCTGTAAATCAGTTTATAAACCACTATTAGTGTTGTAAAATACTGGAATGTAGTGAGAAAAAAACCTAATTTGGGCAAAGAGTAGGCCTAATTGGGAAATGATGAGACCTGTTTACTGCGTGTGTGTTTGTGTGGTCGGGGTTGGGGGTGTGCTGCGCGACAGCCATGCCTCTGTATCCAGCGCTGTCCGCCCCCAGCATTAACCCAGCTATTTCGAGAAACTTCCAGCCCACTTTTCCACGTCACTTGAGGAATCTTTAAAGCGTCCGTCGCCGGTATTAAATGTCTCAGTGCTGGGCGGCCAGAAGCATGAACGGCATGAAGACGCAGTCGCCGACAGCGACGATGGCAAATAACGACAACGATCCCTTGCCCCTCGGATGGGAAGTCAAAATTGACCCCCAGACAGGCTGGCCCTTTTTCGTGGATCACAACAACCGCACCACAACCTGGAATGACCCGAGACACGACACGAAAAAGGTAACGGCGCGCGATAAAGTTGTTGTATTGAGGAGCGCGTGTTATGTCATCTTCATCATGCCACCGGCCGTTCCGACTCGTGAAATGTTCCGAGGTGCGCAGTTAGCTCGGGGTGTTTGCAAGGAACCTATTTTGACAATAGGCCATGTTTCCCCCCCTTAACTCCCCCTCACACGCGCATTCTCCTCACGAGCCTTTTCGAACGGCTCACCAATCCTGTTTTGTCGCCGGGTGCTGATCTAACGACATAATTACTCGGTGACTCATCCTGCAGTATATGTTAAGACCACCTTTGACTTCCAATATCAGTTCCTTTATGGCGACAAACACCGCGACGTCCTCATATTAAACTTTTCCCTTACAAGGCTTTGACGCAGGACCACTGTGGCCAGGGTGCAGTCTATATGTTAGGATTACCATATACTGTATTCATATTCACTGGGAGCATGGAGGAAAAAAAAGAGATATTGACGAAATAACGAAGGACAGAAAGGGGGCTCGCATGCTGCCACTTGTTAATCTTCAGCGAGACGTCGCTGTCGAAGGTAGAAGCTGCTGGAAAGAGGACAGCTGTCAGTGGATAAAATGGGTGCAATGCTGTTGCCTGTGCGCAGCCTCCCATAATGAAATGGCAGAGGGCAAAGGGTCACTCCCTGAAATTTTACAACTTTTGTTTTAGACTGACAACAGATGGGAAAAGTGTGTAATCATCTGAATGGTAGTGGCATTTAAAATCAGTTTTTGTTTTGATATCTTTGAGATTTGTTGTCAGTGGTTACCCGGGCAGAAATCAATGAACTATGAATAAACCTCTTGCTTGTATTCCGCCTTAGCTGTCACTGGCAGTTGCCTTAGACACTTGAGTTATGTTGTCAACAATACAAAGCCGTTTTTAATTGCAAATCCATATGAACTGTAGAAGCAGCGTACATTTATAACTGCTCCTTTATATGATTGTTTTGGATGCAACTAGATAATCCAATATTTTATTGTTGTTCCAGCCAAAATAATGATTCAGAGAAAGCCGTTGAATAACTGAGTGCAGAAAACTTTTTTTTTTTTTTTTTTTAGTAGTAATACATGAATTACAATTACAGAATCTTCCTGAAAGAGCGTCTAAAATACAAATGCCCATGTATCTTGGGTATTATTCGTAGTAAAATTTCAATGTATAACCTTTGCATTTATGTCAGGATTGAGACCCCTCATCTTTCGGCTTTGGTTTTCTAGAGACCTTTTTACATTCAACAAAAAGGAGGATGTGGCACGGTGTGCGAATTGTTAGCACATTTGTCTCGTGTTTCGGAGATCCGGGGTTTGATTCGGTGTTCCTGTGTGGAGTTTGCATGTTCTCCCCGTGCTTGTGTGGCTTTTCTCTCACATTTCAGAAGCATGATTCTTGGGTCAATAGAAGACCCCAAATTGTCCATGGGTGTGGATGTGTCTTTTGAACTGACTCAATTTAAATATAAATATTGCTATAGACTTGAATAATTTATGAGGTCCAAACATTGATACATTCACCATTACACATTTCCTCTTACAGAAGCAAAAATTAGCTTTTTAGTGTTGGAGCATAATAAATTAAAAGTGAAAACATATTTATTGGCATAGTTAATTTTCAGAGATAGCTGTAGCTGAGTTTGTCTTAGTTACTATTACTGCATGTAACATCATACTTGACGCCTGTCAGGTTTATTACATTTCAATTCATGTGTACATACTTCAGGTTAGGGAAGTATCCACAAATGGACCCAGCACACCACCAGAACCAAGCCCTCAGGAGACGCAGAAGACCTTTGTGAAAGAGATGAAGCACCCCATCCTTCGGCCAGGTTATGTTCCCATCCCAGTCTTCCACGAGGGTGCAGATCTGAAACAGCAACAGCACCCGTGCTATTCGTACATCCAACCAAGCACTGCACAGAATATCAGGACAGAGGGACGGATACCTTCGCCGACACCAGGATTTCATTGTCGGCCTCGGTCACCTCTACATGGATCTGGTGACACCTGCTCCACAGGGCCAGGGAAAGCCAGCTCACCTGTATCTCAAACAGCAGAGGTTGGTCAACAACAAAGACTAAAAGTCCTGCGCTCTATGGTTCTAATTTGCAATTAAGCAGATTTTTTTGGACTTTGGAATGAAAATAAATGAGTGTGACATTTTGATATTTTCCTTTTGCTTTCAAGGTTTATACTGGCCCGCATAACCAACTCCCACGGACCAGCAGCAGCGGTCTTCAAGCAGGTTACATCCCAATCCCAGTGATCCATGAGAGCGCAGGAGGCCAAACGCAAGCACAGCCTCAGTTCAATCCATCCGTCCACTGTCAACGCGTCCCCTATTCCGAGCATCAGCAACCCTTCCACCGCCTTCAGCAGGACCAATGGCCCGGCTATTCTGCAGCAATGCAGCCTCCTCGAGAAAGGGCTTCTCCCGTCTTGTATCCTCAGCACCGCGATACTGCTGCTATTCACCTACCGCATAATATCAGAAGTCAGTCACCTATTGTAACACAGGTGCTGGGCGAAAGGCCGCAGGTAATAACTTCGGACTTACACCCAGATTTGTAGTTCATGTTTGTTCCGATATCCACATATTTAATAAACCTTTGATTGTCCACAGCAGAATATCATGAGAGAGCCACCCCAGAAAGTGGAGCAGGAACAAACGAGCCCTCTACAAAAAACGGAGAATATCCAGGTTCCTCAGCCTTTGCGCACAGAGGCTGATGGCCAACAGCCTCATTCTCAACAGCCTCCACCTCAGCAACGTCAACACTTCCAACAGCCTCCGCCTCAGCCACATCAACCCTTCCAACAACCTCCGCCTCAGCAACCACAGCAATTCGAGCAGGCACCGCCTCAGGCATCTCCGCAGTCCGAGCAATTACCACAACACTTCCCGCAGCTCCATCAAGCAGAGCCAAACGCTGCCGATGTCACTGAGCAAATGCCATCAGAAACAGAAGCACATGACGAGGAGGCTGTTGCCGCAGAAGTCCCACCTGTCAAGATGGAGGCCGAACAACCGCCCCAGTGTCCTGTCCACCCAGGTTTGGCTAAAGTACAGAAGATAGTTGAGCGGGTCGCTAAACTGGAAGCAGAGGTGAAAAGCTTTGAAGGGAAAAAAAATGATAAGAAGTACTTGTTGCTGGAGGAACTGCTGACCAAAGAGCTCTTAGCGTTAGACTCAGTTGATCCAGAAGGTCGCCCCGATGTACGGCAAGCGAGAAGAGATGGAGTCCGTCGCGTTCAGACCATACTGGAGGAACTGGAGCAACTGGAGGAGCCGTCCACAACGCCTGCCTGCGAGGCCTTGGCGGAGGGAGACAGCCCGACACAGAAAGGAGAGCCCAGCATGATCACCAAGGAGAATGTTGAGATGGCAAAGGAGATATCCTAACAAGAAGCTGCAAGTGTTTATTTGATGGTGAACAAGATTACACCCTGCACTGTTTTTGTGAAAATTGCATGCATTCATTAACAGTGTTGGTATTTTATTTTATTTTTTTGGCATTCACCACATCATTGATGGGCGCTCTGTGTTGTCATGCTTTTCGAGATGACATTGTTGCCTTCTGTGTTGTGCCAGTGTCTTCATAGCAAGACATCTGTCAAGAGCAAGGTGTTGACATGAAGTTTGAGTCAAATTCAAGTTTGATGATGAGGCCTTTATCATACAATCAAAAAAACAAGTATTTTCTTAATGTTACGTGTAGATGCCTTTTGTCTTTACTCAACATTGTATGGAGCTTTACTCAATCCAGTCGGCACATTTGTTTGTATACAGTGCATGAAGAGTGCAAACATTTGGGGCTTTGGAGCTGAACGCTGCAAAAAGCTGTCAACAAAAGCATTTCCCCTTTATTACAATGTTGGAGCTGTTTTGTGGCAAAAACACAATGAATTTGTCATTTAGGATGCTGCTTTTTGGGTCGTGAGTCATTTTGTCATCTTTGCACCTCATGGAAATGTATCACAGTGAATGATCAGTATCATTTTTGAAATATGTGTTTCACCACTTTTGATGTGTTTTGAGTGTTTGTATCGACATCGGTGAATGTGTACTTTCAATGCAATATATCAAGTATTTATATTTCACTATATAGTATTTTACTATATTTATGACTGCGTAAAGACAAATGGACCTGTGATGTGAGACAATCAGCACTTGGTGCTAATAAGGAATCAAGAGTTTTAGATTGTTAGAATGGTCTTTGCAGAAACACCAAAGCCACAATCTGTAATATCACAGACAAAAAAATGCCTTATCAGTGCAATACGACACCAAGCTATCACTTGAAAAGTGTCAAAATCTATTTTATGATTAGCCTCGCACAATTTGTGTAAAGATTTGTCACCATAGTCAGCCCTCTGTAATGCCTTATAACCCTCACAAATTATGGATTGTGGCTTAGTATATCGATCACAGGTGACGAGTCACAGATAAATGCATTGTTGAAAGCAAGTCATATGGGAATAGTTGAAATAAATTGTATTTGACAGTATTTCTGACTAATATTTTGGTCCACTAAAGTACTCACAACAAGCACAAGTATACAGTAGATAATTAGTAAAAACAATAGTAAAAACAATAGACTATCAGTAGTACTCAGTATTACTTGGTCATTCACGTTCTTCCATGTCACTGCTACCCCTGCTTTGTTCTTCGTTATAACTCTCAATCAAGATTTTAACTGGGGTTGACTTAATCCCTATGTATTTTTTACATTGTGTCATCATCTCCGGAGATTCAAACTAGTTCTCGGGTAAGATGTAGAAAGTGCAAGCACCTGTGTTCAAAATTATGAAGTCGTCAGAGAAATAAATAAATAAATTCCAGATAGTGGAAAAATCTATGGATGTACAGTCACAAGTATTTGTGGGCCCACTTCCTCAGCTACTAAATAATAAAGTACACAGTAGGGGCGCAACTGACAATTATTTCAAGAATTGATTAATTGGTTGATTATTTATTTGACTAAATTGATCAGATAAAGAAAGATTCTAATTTAGGTCCCTTTATTAAAAAACAGCACATTTTAAATTGACACTCTAGAAAATATACAAAGTGATTATGACTGAATTACTGGTTGGGTCCATGACGTCTCAGATTACACAAAAATATTGATAATTGTTTACCAATGAAAAAGCAGATATTTGCAACTGTCTTGTTTTGATTAAAAACAAAGACAACCACTCTGCTTTCACAGATGACTAGAGAAATATTTACTGTTGAGAATGTCAAATTAAGAGAGTTTGGGCAATTTTGAGTTAAAGAATGTCTTCAAACTATTTTTTCATAATAGTTGTTGAATAATTGATTAGTCGATTAAATGTTGTACCTCAAGATCCCGATGCAACAGGATCATGTCATTTTTATTTTTAGCTAGTCCACACCGAATGTTGAAAGGGTTTTAGTGCATTTAAGAGCTTCACATACAATCGTCTTCGTGTTACTTGTTCAGCCGCACTCTGTATTTCCCCCTAAGGATGCCTCTGAGTCACAGAGAGAAAGCGTTAACCCTTCGCTTTCTATGTGGGTGGTTGGGAACATTGCAACTTCAACTACTAAGAAATATTGACATGAAAATTCCACGCCCAGATATATACAATAAAACCAGATTTAGGTAATAGCAACACTTATTTTCAATGTGGGAACTTTCCACTCCCAGTGAAACCAGGTGACTCTTGGCTTGCACGCTACCTGCTTTCCCGTGGTGACGACAAGTCACGTGTCATTGTTTGGAGCAGGAAACTGGCACCTTCTGGATGGCTTCCGCAGCAGTTTACAGAGACAAGTCCACATTTATTTACGCCTTACTTTTATGTCCAGCCTAACAATGGGGAGAAATGTTTTTCCAGTGGCGAAGGAGAGCAATCGCCAATATGCATATAAGTGGAGCAAACTCATCGGACAAGCATCCAGCTGCTGTTAGCTTGTAGCCGTAGCGCACCAGCCGGAGGGGAACGAGGAGCTAACTGGAGTTAGCGATTCGCCGCTTGGCAAACTGCTGTCATCCTCTCGAGTTATTTCTTCTCCTCTCAAGGCTGTTCCTCTAGCTAGTAATTTATTTTGTTGAACGTATATAGGCAAAATGGAGTTGTTCCAAGCCAAAGACGATTACATTCTTCAGAACGGGGACCGCGCTCTTTGGTGTAGCCGAAAGGACGGTTCCATGACAGTCAAACCTGGTACGTATCATTCCGCCAGTCGGTCTTTTCTTTGACTCGAACACTTATTATTTTCTTGACAAGTTCGAATCAAAACACCTCATTCACACATGGATGGACACTTACATGCAAGACAATTGTGGGGTGATTACTAGTACCACCAACGTCACCCACTACATTCACAATTTGCTCGCCTAATAAAAAATAGTACGTAAACATTTGGCCAACTTCACTAACAAATTGTCTCGTACAAAATAGTTTTTGTGCCATTTACGATATTTTTATTTTCGCGGACACGCGAGAATAAAGACAATCTGATGAGTTTTCTTGTAACATTTTATGTTGGACACAGAGGAGAAAACCAGACATTCAAGTTCTTAATTATGCGAATTAGCTGTAATAGACTTCAATCACACGTTTATTTTATGAGAGCTTCCTTGACTAAATTGTTTTAGGGAACACTTAACCAGCGTGTTATCTAGGGCTCAATTCCTGTAATCTCATCTGTCACATAGTATGAAACCTTGTATGTGACAAATAATTTATTGTCCTTTTTTTAGCGTATAGCTGACTATGGAGATCACAGTATATGAATGAAAGAAGTGATGAATTAATAGAGCCTTTCCAGACTGCTGAGGATGTTGATACTTTAAGTCCTACGGTTGTGTAGCCATCCTGAACAGGTTTACAGTTGCACCACCGTTTCATAATTTAATTGGAACAAGGGTTTCTGCTCCTCTCTCAATTTCCACTCTACTCCTCTGCTCAGAGCAAAGCATTTCTTGAAGGTATACGGAGAAGAGTTGGGTTTCTTTCTTCAAGAATTCGCCTCTATTAATTTGTGGTGTCTGTAGAATTAAGAAGTATTAGTACTTCACGATGCTCATACCAATGTTCTGCTCCCGTTGCCACACCCTTCACATGGTTCCAATTTTCTTCAGTAAAATGGTGAATCCATCACCAACAATCCAATTTTCCTTTGAGTCAGCCTTCCCACTGCATGGCCTTAACTGTTGTCATGCCAGGTCTGGGATTTTCAGCAAGCGTGTTAGCAAACAGAGTGTCTGTGTTATGACAGACTAATGTTTCTCCTTTTAGTATGAATGTGAGGCGCTTGATGATTGACAGGCTACCGCAAATTGTGCCGCATCGTATGTTAAAATGTATTGTGTTTGAAGTGATGTATCTGCGGGACATTGTTGACAGTTATTCCATGAACTTCAGTCACACTTGCACAGACACTTCCATTTCTATCTTTATTTACTTTCAGCAACGGATCTACTATTTGCTTGGAACCCAGTATGTTTAGGCCTGGTGGAAGGAATCATCGGAAAGATACAGCTTCACACAGGTAAGAAGATGGAGTACTCATTTGACATTTCGTCTTAAAAGATTAAAAAAAAATAGATATTAGTCTTTGGCTACTTGATATGGCAACTCTTCTATTACTGTGACTCGTTTCACATTCACAAGGGGAGGTGTGAATGTACTTTGAAATGCATGTAGAGTGATGAAGAGGAGTGATGTGGTGGTGATGATGCAATTGATGATGATTTTTTTTTCTCTCCATACTTGGCCTCTCAGAAGCACAGAGCAGGAGTTATTTTTACCTTACACAAGGACAATTATGTTATGTTTACAGACATGGTAGTCTAACATGAGCTAATACTGTTTTATTCAACATTTATTTACCAGATGTCTTGTACTGCTGTATTTGAATCAATTAATAGCTGCTTTGAGTGTGGCTTCTTCACACCTTTTAGAATGTGAGGAATTCTGCACCCAAGATGCAGACACCCTCTACCCACCTCCCCTTCTTTTACTCCTCTTGCCAGATCTGCCTCTCGGCCTTGTATTAATCCGCCAGAAAGCGCTTGTTGGCCATTTGCCAGGCGACCACAAAGTCTACAAGATTATCAAGATCGCTGTCATTCCTCTGTCTGATGAAGAGCCACAGGAGCTGGAGCTGGAGGTGTGCATCCTACGTCTGTATTCAGACACTTTGCAGAGTGTATGATGCTTGACCTTATTGAGCGTATGATGACCGTATCAGTGTCTAATTCATCATGGTTTTATCAGCTGCTACAATATATTTGTAAAGCTTTGTTTTGTGGAAAGTTCCACAGAAAGGTACAATTGAAAAGATTGTTAATAATCTAAGAGAAAGATGGGTATTGCTAAGATTTCAGTCTTTCAGGGGAGCTTCATGGATGGTGAGGCACAATATTTTCAAGTGAGTAATACTGATGGTGAAAGATTGCTCCTGAATAGACTGTTTTTAGCCTCCACCCTGTTTTACATTGTGCTGCAGAATAATTATTCCCCTCCTCCCATTCTCACTCTTCTGTGCCTTCTACAGAAGTCCTGTAGCTCCATGTAGCTGTCAGGCTGTTTACCAAATTAGTTTTACTACTAGGGGTAGTACTCCTCATTTTGTCAAGTTTACTCTTATAACACCATGTCTGTCTGAGTGACATTTTGTATATAACTTATACACTAAAATGACACAGGCTCCTTTTTTTCAGCCCTGCAAAAAGCATCATTTTGGAATTGACAAGTCAGAGAAACTGGCTCAGTCTCCTGATGAGTCCAAGTTAATGAAAACCTTAAGCCAGATAAAATCCAATGTGGCTGTGCCCATTAAAAAAAAGGTAGGTGTCTGTTCAGTTTGTCACACACCTGATGCTTTTGGGGTTTCTGATGCTTGTTCTTCTCGACCAGTTTAACTACCTACCTACCTCCCTAATCTACCTAACCTACCTAACCTAACTATTTTGCCCAACCCAATATTCCCCTGCCTTCCAGGTAAAGGAAAACAAAGAGAAGGAACGTCTTGAGAGGCGGCTGCTAGATGAGCTATACAAAATATTCATGGATTCTGACTCCTTCTACTACAGTCCCACGTATGATCTGACAAACACTGTGCAGCGCCAAGGAGACTTGGAAAGGTCCGATTTACCGCTTTGGAAACAGGTCTGAGGACAAACATAACTTGGACCAAGGTCCCAAATTTTCTGTGAATATCAAATCAAAAAAAGTTGGTTGGATAAAAGAAATTGTTGATTTATTTTTTTTTGTCAAAGGTGGATGACCGTTTTTTCTGGAACAAACACATGATTCAAGATCTTTTAGACCTAAAGGTAATGATTTTTCTCCACATTACATCATGTTTTTTTTTTCCCTCTCACACTATGTCAAGACTGGAATAAAATTACTGTATCCAGATGTCGACATTTGTTGACATGAGCGAAGTTGTAGTCATTATGTGACGTGATAATCTTAAAATAAATGAAATCATGCAAAAAGATAAGAGCGAGTAGCTCTGATTTTATGAAAGATTATCTTTTGTATGCAAGATGTGATATATGCAAGATGGTATGTTAAAAATATTTGCAGCTTAAATAGGTAACATGATACTCCTACTCCAGTAGAGGGTGATTTTCTTAGATTAGCAGTTCATTTACTTTCTCACACTTACAAACTGAGTGGTAAAGGACTTATGCTATTGCTTTGGTCAAATCCTTCCTTGTGTGACATCAGAACTGCCTCTCCCATGTGCTGTTACAATGAAAGACACTTACTCTATTGTCTCGTTCTATTTCCTTAGTTGCAATGGCCAGTGAAAGCACCAAGATACATAGCAACAGTATGCTGCAGTCTTCTGCTAGACAGTAGTACAGCCGTGACTCGACGTGATCAGTTTAGGAGCAAAGTGACATTTAAAGATTTGATGAAGATGATGATAAAATGAGCTTGTCCAAGCAAATATAATCTCATCAGCTATCAGTATTTTCAGTTATTTGGCCTTGATGGAGGTTTGCTACACCTGTAATGGACCTGTGAAAGATATTAAATATTTTTGCAATATTTCAGACCCCTGAGGTGGATTTTTGGGTGATACCAATCATCCAGGGCTTTGTCCAAGTCGAGGAACTTGTAGTGAATTACAACGAGACATCGGATGAGGAACGGAGCAGTCCTGAAACTCCACCGCAGGAGGTGACCTGTGTTGACGACATCCATCCCCACTTCACCGTTGCTCTCATCTCCAGACGTAGCCGCCATCGAGCAGGTACACTGTAGCGCTTCAAAACTCCACTAGCCCCAGTATCCTATGTAAGGTTAATGTCACAGCTGGCCTAAAGTAACAGCATTGGTTATTTCCAAATATCATTTTTACCTCTCTGTATATGTACAAGTACTTGGAAACTCTATGCCCGAAAAGACCGTTGGAAGCCTTTAACTCATTCACTCCCAAAGACGTATTTAGATGTCTTTTCAGACACCGCACATTTAATCCCAGCTCCTCATTTTATATTGACTGTACTTGAAAAGGGACTGAAAGGGTCTGAAAATGGCCCCTTTTCAAGTACAGTCAATATAAAATGAGGAGCTGGGATTAAATGTGCGGTGTCTGAAAAGACATCTAAATACGTCTTTGGGAGTGAATGAGTGTTAATGTAATATAAAGATATAGAATAACATTTTGAAATATACTGTTTTACCAAAACACTCAATGAGCAAGACTCAAATCTGTGTACACAAAGGTAAATTTGGTTCGAAATTCCCCATTCCTGTTCAAGATTAAAAAAAAAAAAAAAAAGAACTACAGGTACTTGAAAGCAAGCACTTCATGACAATGCAGTGAATGTTCTCTTTTTGACAGGTGGTCTATTATCCAGTAAATTCCTTAACCGCCTAGCTGTCAAAGCAGTTGGAACTGATTTCAACTCTGTCTTCTAATATAATTATTTACATAACACAGAAACTATTGTATTTATTCTATTGACATAAAACAATCTTTTTATCGTCTTCATCCATTTTCTTTGCCCAAAGGGATGCGGTACAAACGCAGAGGAGTAGATACAGATGGCCATGTGGCTAACTATGTGGAGACGGAGCAGTTGATCCACGTGCACAGCCACACTCTGTCGTTTGTGCAGACTCGTGGCTCTGTGCCTGTCTTCTGGAGCCAGGCAGGATACCGCTACAATCCCCGGCCACGCTTGGAGAAAGGTCAGTGGAACCACTTTGTGTGTGTGGTCAGTCGACGGAAATAATTTCTCAGGAATTGTAGCAGTTCTCGGATTTATGGTTAATTCTAACAGTACTTACTTCAGGACCAGTGTTCCAGTGAGACGTGGTTTTAGTTATTCTAAGGGGGGAATTACTGTATAATTTCAAGTAAAATAAAATACATAATTAGGTCCAAAAAGAATCAACACTATGTAACATGTTAATTGTTTTGTAAAATGTACTGTCATTAAAATTGTTTACATTTCTGGCATTTCAGAAGAGAGGGAGACCATGCCGTACTTTGCTTCCCACTTCGAAGAGCAACTTAAACTCTATAAGAAAGAGGTTCGTTTGTAATTATTGCTGTCATTGCGCTTTCATGAGCATTTGGTGTGGATGTTCTTAGCGTCCTTCTTAGATAAGTAGTTTACACTATCCCAAAGGGTTTTTAGACAGCTACCGTTTATTCAATATATTGTAACTTGAGCGTTTGTTGGACCAGCAGTGAGCAATTCAATTTCCCCAGAGGCCATATGATCAATAGTCGAGAGTGCCGTATAGTTAGATGCTTAGAAAAAGTTGGTAGCAATATGTTCCACATATTTATAAAACCATTGTAAATATGTCCTAATTAACACTTAATTTTTGTATGCGGGGAACTTGCGCTGGAAACTCCTAAATGCTATACGTTTTGCCAGTCAGTTTCATTCTTTGTTCTTAATTTCAGGTCATCATTAACTTAGTTGACCAAAGTGGACGAGAGAAGTTGATTGGGGATGCCTATCTGAAGCAAGTGCTTCTTTACAACAACTCAAACCTCACCTATGTGTCATTTGACTTCCATGAGCACTGGTGAGAGAAACACTCGGTGTGATGTGTTTGTAATTCTATTTTTGATAACACTGTACGTTTCTTTCCTTTCTATCTTCCTGATGCGCTGTATCTCAGTCGAGGGATGAAATTTGAAAATGTGCAAATACTGACAGATGCTATCTGTGACATCATCACTGACATGAAATGGGCCTGGTAAGTGTGACTCACTATTTTATAAATAGCAGAAAAGTACTATTAAGGTAAGGACAGTTTGCCATTTTGATTTTTTTTTATTTTTTTTACTTTACTGAAAATGTAGACATAAATGAGATTATTTGTCATCTCTCACACACACACACACACACACACACACACACACGCACGCACACACACACACACGCACACACACACACAAATAATGCATCTCGGCCTCTCTGCTAGGGTGGACCAAGCTGGAGTCATCTGCAAGCAAGAGGGCATTTTCAGAATCAATTGCATGGATTGTTTGGACAGGACCAACGTAGTCCAGGCAGCTATCGCCCGTGTGGTTATGGAACAGCAGGTAAAATATTAGAATCACCAGTACAAAGAACAAGAGCGTCTATTTCCCCTGAATCTATTTCAGCAGTTGTTATGATGCAGCGTTGAATGTCCTATTCCCCATAGCACTTAAACTGGAGCTCACCTGGCCCTGAGTCAACCTCTTGAGTTAGTAGGAGAATCTAGCCAACAGCATTAATCAAATTCTATGACTCATTTCTCTCAGCTGAAGAAGTTGGGTGTGATGCCTCCAGAGCAGCCCCTGCCTCTTAAATGTTACAGGATCTACCAGATCATGTGGGCCAACAATGGTGACACCATCAGCAAACAGTATGCAGGCACAGCAGCACTTAAGGTATTACTGGCTTCACACACAGCCCATAGAGTCTGGGTCATAGTGATGCTTTTCTGAGATGCATCCATAAATGCAAACGCCTGCTACTCAATACATCAGTGCGAACACCGTTTTGTTTTTAGGGAGATTTTACACGGACGGGTGAGAGGAAATTGGCTGGTGTGATGAAGGACGGCGTAAACTCAGCCAACCGCTACTATCTGAACCGCTTCAGAGATGCTTACAGACAAGCAGTAATCGGTATGAAACTGAGAGGAAAAAGAACTGCTAACAGTGTGTCTGCGCTCAGAAACAACTCTTTACGGTGTCTCTCCATTTCATTGCAGATCTCATGATGGGTCTTCCAGTGACTGAAGACCTCTACTCAATTTTCAGCAAGGAGAAGGAACATGAGGAAAAAGAGCAGGAAAGCCAAAGAGGAGCCCAGGAGCAAGTCAGCCTGTTATTGCAGACATACATGCAGCTTCTTCTGCCGGATGATGAGAGGTTTCATGGTGGTTGGGCTCTCATTAACTGTGACATGAGGTTTGCAGCACATTTTTGTTCTCAGTTATCTTTTCGGTCTTTTAAAATACAAACCGACGACTATTGTGATATATTTAGCACACAGCCAACTTTAGATGTTGACATTGAGACTGGAGCCATAAATGTCTTAAGTCTTTGGAGCTCAGTGTGTGCCTTCTGCTTGTCAGCTTCATTGATGCCACAAATAAAGATGCGGATGTGCTTCTGCTTTAAGTCTTTGGAGCTCAATGTGTGTCGTTTTCTTCTCAGCCTCATCGATGCCACAACTAAAGATGATGATGTGCTTCTGCTTCTGTCTGACAAAGCCTACTACATTGCGTAGTAAGTCTGAACTACATATTCCAACCTACTAGTATGAATCTGTTCCTTTGAATCATCAGCTGGTTCTGTTCATCTGTAGCTATGACGAAGAAGCAGATAAAGTCAACCAGTACCAGCGCCTCAATTTAGAAGGTTTGGAAAAGATTGAAATTGGTAAGTATTCAGTTTCACTCGAAGCAGAAGTGACTGGGCTTTTGTGCACTGACTGAGTCACCCAGCACTTCCGAAATGTGTGTGAAACAGTTTCTCTCAGTACCCTTGAAGTAATATTGTTGAGAAATATGATTCATTCAAGGAAATGAACCAAAAATGGAAGTTGTAAGTGTGCATGTTCTTTTGCAGGTCCGGAACCGACGCTTTTTGGCAAACCAAAGTTCTGCTGTATGCGCCTGCATTACAGAAGTGAAGAGCAAAGTGGATACTTTCACACACTGCGAACAGCCACCCGAAATCCTGAGGATGACGGAAAAGGTTGCATATATACCTTTGATTAAAATGAGCCACCCTTATCCCTCAAATGTTGTATTTAAACACCTTATGACCACATACTTTTTGTTGTTGTGATTTTAATTCAAAAGCAATCTGTCTGCTGTGCGCTGCTTTACCCTATACTGCTCTAACTCTGTAATTTCTCCCCTGGGGATGATTAAAGGATTTTCTTATCTTATGTTTCAGATACACTACAGTGCATTGCTGAGATGCTTCGCATTACAAAACAGGCCAGGGGGCTGGACCTACTGGTGGTTGAAAAGAAGCTGGAGAGGTCATTCGGCTATATATTCATAATACGGTCTAAAAACAGTGTTGGTTATTCCTGACGCTAATGTTCTTTCTGGGTGTGTGTCTGTGCCTGTCTGTGCTTCAGGCGTCAGAGCAGACCTCATGAAGATATTATGGGGATCCAGAACAAAACTGGTGAGCAGGCACAGGGCAGCTCTGGGCTAGCTCAAGGCAAAAGTTTCCTCCTCAATAAATTCTCCTCTCTGAATCAGAAAGTAAAACAGACCAAAACAAGCGTGAACATCAGCACCTTCAAGCCTCTCGGCAAGCTGGGAAATTTCTCTAAGCCTGAAGTCAAGGTCAATTTTCTGAAGCCAACTATGCACGTTAACCTGTGGAAGTCAGACAGCAGCTTGGACACATCGGATGGCAACCCCGGCACAGGAACCTTAAAAGATATCACCGACATGAATTTTGATATGTCCGATGACTCAGACTCTTACAATTCTGATCCAGAGCACCCGTGCTCGGGGTCTTTTGAGAACGTGGACTATGTGCTGCCCAGCTGCGGCATCGTAGCATCTAACCCAAGACTGGGCAGTCGCTCCCAGTCCATCGGTAGCGCGGAGCTAAATATTCCCTCTGTTATCCGGGTCAGTGGCTGTGAAGGCCAACAGGAGAGCTCTTCTCAGGTCAGCGAAGACCAGTCCCCAGGGGCCGCCTCAGTGGCTGAAGAAGCCATTCTGATTGACTTTGGCACTCCCTTCGATGCCTACTGCCACCAGTTTATCCAGGACGCACAGACCAAGCCCGTCGAGGTGTTCGGAGAACGGCCGCCCGTGGCCGCCCATCCGCCCAAGCCCATAGTGCCTGTGCAGAATAACAGCCCAGCGGACCCCAAGCAGCCAAGCACAAAGCCACAACATCAGCAGGAGGAGCCCAACCTCCCCAGGCCATCCCAGCTCGATGTACAGACCACTGCCTCCGCTTCTAACCTTCTCAGCATTCAGAGGCCCACCTCTGCCGTGTCAGGCGGCTCTCAGAGGAGTCTCGGCTCCCAGCTGGAGGGCAGCCTCGGCCCTTCGCCCGCTGACAGTAACGGCAGCCGGGTCGTGTCCCCCTTTGCCAAGATCAGGAGCTCCATGGTCCAGGTGGCCAGTCTCACCCAGGCGGGGCTCACTCAGGGCATCAGCTTTGCCGTGGCGAAGGTGCAAAAGAGCCCAGAACCCGAGACAGTCAATGAGGTCCAAGAGAGTGAGTTGAAGGCAATGTTTACGCAGTGCCAGACCAGAATCATTCAGATCTAGTGCTTTCCTTGAAAGAAGCATTTCTGGAGGACATCATGCAGAAATGTGTTACTCACTCCTTGGCCAACACCTGTGCTCTCACTTACGCCCTTTAGTCCAAGTAGCCACTGTTGTACAGAATCGAGAACCATCGGCAGTAATAACGTGGCAGTGAATGTTTACATGCACACAAGAACATGCGGTTTCCCTTTTTAAAAGGAGCAATTTGCACATTATGATCGCCTCCAAATTCAGGCGTTTTGTCAATTTTATTGGTTGTCAGTTGCCATCATATTTTCTTGGGATATCTCAATTTTTAAAGCCACTCCTGACAAAATGTGCAATGTAATACTGTATGTTAAATAAATCCCTTCTTCAACAAATCTCGTACTTACAACACTCCCACATCAGTCACAATTTCTATAAACTGCTGTATACAGTATGTGCATCAAAAATCAAACATTCTTCTATTCTAGATCAATGGAAGAATTGAACGTGCTGTATCTGTTGAAGACTATTTTTAAAAAATAAGTTTACATACTGTGTGATTCAATTTAAATGACATCTGAGCGGTCATTCTGGGAAAAAAGCTTCAGCATAAGTAAACGCAGATTTTAACGTTGCAATCTTATGTAGTTGGCATAGTGTGCAGTTTTTCGTGCATGTAAACATGACACTGTTCTTGAGTGATTTTAATTATTCACAATGCTTGCATGACAGGTTGGTGCTCATGGCCGACTTTGACCGAGCAGATAATTATTAGCTGCATGATAATAGACCAACTCTGGATTAATAATATACTACACAGTATGTGCAGGCCACCTATTGGTATTCGTGATAGATGATAATAATAACCTTTTGGAACAGCTGTCCTAATGTCTGACCAAATAACTTGCGTGGATCCAAAATGATGTTCCGGTGTTAACTACTGTATTGACCTTTGAATAGCAGTCAGAAACTAACAAGACAACCAACTGTACGTAGTTAGTCTGTGTCATATCAATATTGTCAAGTGTTGCTATAATATGGTACAAACTTTGACTACACAAGACCTTTGTAAGAGTATCATTATAGTGAGTTTGTCCAGAGAATTTACTCCCTGTTTAACACCTTCCCTTAGGATGATGATGTTGGTTTTTTTTTTGTTTGTTTTGTTTTTTTTGGCTGGTAGGGTGGCAGCAAAATGCAGAGAAGAGCACATAAAAAAAAATAAAAAATATATGTACACTGTATATCATAATGTAGATATATCTCATAATATAAAGGCATATATAATATATATTTGGGAAAGTTATTTCAAGAAGGATGTCTCCACATAACCAGTCTTTGAGCAGTTGGACTAATTCACTTTAATGTAAACTTGCATTGTAGATTGTTGTTGTATCGTCGACCAAGACAGCTGAGTAGCACATTGTCGGTATATATGCAAATGCACCAATTAAACTAAGAAGAAACACTCCCAAAACTGAAACTTACTTGCCTTAACGGGGAATTAAAGTGGGACGATTATACGTATATCAGGTATTTATGGTAAACGCTACATTTTGAATCCATTCTCTTACATGTTACGTTGTGTACTGTACTGTATGAAAAAAAATGTTCTGAGTAACTCCGTTTCATCTTGGGATATTTTATGAGCTGATGCTTTCTTTCCTCATTTTGTGAGGCCCAATATTTTAATGACTCAGTTTGTGTCTGCCATTTTGAAGGTAAAAGGGTTATACCTGATGCAGATTTCAGAGAACTCTAACGAGTCAAAGGAAACTGCATATTTTTTTTCCATCTTAGCCTTGTGTTTAGAGGTGTTGCCTCATTGCTTTCTGAAAATGTTAAATTGGAGAATCTGCCATGCATAAAATATTTAGATAAAACAATTTGAGTCACAGTATAAAAGCGATATATTGATCTCTATACTCTAATAATCTGTTCAGCGTTGAGATGGAATATCCCAAGATCATCGATCACATGTTTCATATTTACCGTAGTTAAGTTTATGTGTTTCCTGTAGTCAGCTTGCTGACGATTAGACAAGGTGCGGTTTTTGCTTCGTGGTTGCTGTATCATTATTTTGGAGAGTGGATCTGCCAAAGGCTCTCAGATATTGCTGGAATGCACAATTTTAATGCAGAAGTTCTATTTAAATGCTGCATTAGGATTACAACACTGGAGCTAGTTTAAAAGGGATGGTAATCCTCAACATTCCTAATCAAGACCACAATGCTACATTTTTTTTAATGTAAGAGTTTGTAGTTACGGTAATGTAGTTCCGTTATGCAGGGTGATGTTTTTCTTTAATTTTGACATAAGTGCTTCAGCAACCCGCTGTTAATTTCTGTCTGTTGCACCTGTACTACCCTCCCTCAAAGACCCCACAACATGTCATCCTCTGAATACTTCTTAAAGCATTTGTTCAACACTGTTTCACTTCATCTGCTTGTGGTCACACCTGTTTATCAACACTCTTGCAGTGTTGACATTGTATTATATATTAAAGTCTCCTATTTATTCTCATCCTCTTTGGGTGTTACTTGATGGCAAAGTGCATTGTAGACTTGGTCCAATATTTCACAGGAATAAAAAGGGTGAGGGACTGAATGTGTCGCATGAGGTTTGTTAAATACAGTAGTAAGCTTACTGAGCTTTTGGGAATGCCAGGATACATGCATAATTCACAAAGGAAAAAAAACAAACAAACGCTGGAAAGATTTTTCTAGAACTTTATTTACATTTGGAAACAATTATAAACATGGAAAACTGTGCACAGGCATACAGGTGTTAGCTGCTGGCATGTAGTGCCACAGCTGCACAACGTACATGAACATAAATGAAATGAGAGACGTTTTGATCATAAACCTTATGTATCAAAAGGATAACAATAGCTAACAGTAATCACGGCTCATTTCCATTGACGCTCTTGTGCTGCTCCATCCGACAGCAACGCTGAATCTCGATGTGTTTGGCCCTCAGCCAGATGTCTCTGGACAAAGAGGTGTGTCCCAGGCTCAGAGACAGCAACCTGACAACAGAGACCTGGTTAATCGCATCCCATCGCACTATTCCAGTGCGTTACGGTGTTTCCCAAGGCACATAATTTATATTTGGAAAAATCTCAAGTATGCCATACAAACATTTCACAGAATGTGGTTAATCATGTACCTTCCGCCATCTAGTGGAAGAGCATTTCATTGTTTTGGCTGTCAATATGTGTTGCTGGTATAGAAAGCTGAACAAAGATACTTATTTGTAAAGATAAATCATTTTCAGGCCAATAAAGTGACATTTTGTCATTGCTGACAGATCACTTGATCGTTCACGGCATACTAATTGGGAAACACCGCATGCAGCCAAAGCCACTGTTGGGTTAAAATAGTATTTTTTCAGATTTTGAATTCTGAACTTTAAAAAATACTCCCTATAATATAAGAAGTAGTTTTTTTGGGGGGAAAGGCCTATTTAATCAAAATAAAAACAATTAAAGAGCCCACCTTGCTACAATAAGCATTCGGTGCAGGTCCTCAGCACTTATGCTTTGGGGGTCGTCCTTCCTCATGTCTACAAAATCATCCTCGACTGACTAAAGACAACAGGAAAAGAAACAAATTAAGCAGCTGGAATTGTCTTAACTGACGGCTCAATATATTAATACACACTGTAGTCTATGTAAAATGTTTTGCCTGCTGGGCTTGGAGCTGCAGGGTTCTCGCCAAGTTTTCTGGAAAGGACGAAGAGAGGCGAAGAAGATCTCACCTTGGTCACGTCATCTGAGATACTGTAGTCCAGCTGCCGGGCCACACTCAGATAGAGTCGGAACTTGTTGAACTGTGATGATGTTTGCGCATGTATGGGGATGCTTGTGAGATATTCATCCATGTTGTCTGGAGCCACTTGAGGTTTCAGGTGTATCTGACAGTCTGACTGTTGGGTTCAAGAAAGAAATACGGTAAATGTTTGACACTGTTTCAGTTCCATGTGTTGGAATGCATAGGTTTCTTTGCTGTCTCTCATTATATCAATGTACGCCATCAAGGGGCAAAGCTTGACCAGCCTTCACTGCAATACAAACAACCGGACCTCAGGCCAAGTCCCGATGTTGTTTACGGTGTGCTGCCCTTCTCTGCAGACTGACGCCTCTCTCTGGATTGTTCCTGTGGCACACAGCTGCCGCCATGGCAACATAACAGCCCAGCACACAGGAATAGCACACGGTGCATTCCTTGCACTGTTCACAACAGAGTGAGACCCATGCTAAAGCCCCCAGCTGGAGGGGGTTTCTGTGTCCAGCCAATAGCAGCTGAGACAGCAGTGTGATGCTGGCTGGAAACAACCGCCAGCGTTAGACAAGATCAAGTCTCAGGAGAGGCTAGCGGAAACCCAACACCTGCCAGGCCTGGTAGGGGAGAGGCTTGGTTGTGGCGTGGGCGAAGCGTCAAGTGAGATCAGTGTGGCCGCATGTCCTCACCGGCAGCAGTGAGCGTCCCTCCGATGCGACGAGCACGTTAATATTGCAGGGGAATTCCATCTGGTGGTAGTTAAAGTCATAATCAACCTTCTGCCATGAGATCACATTCCCCAAAGCTGTGACATTGCGCACACCTACAGCACCACACACACAGAGGGAGCCTCGTTAGTGTCAAATCATATTTTCTGAGCTCGGCAGCTCGGATCAAGCCCTCGTGGCATGTGCACGTTTCACCTGTCGTGTCCAGTTGTCCTTGCTCCAGTTGGGTTTCATCAAGGAAAAGGGAAGTGTTTTGGGCCAGCTGCAGGGCTCCGCTCACCAGCCGGTTGGCCAAGTAGTCTTTCTTTGGCACCATACGCATCTGATTCATGTTGTGAAGGCTCATGCCCAGATAGAACGACTACAATGTGTGGATAGAAGAAGGGTTGGGTGGACAGAAGTAATTTTTGAATCCATCTAGTCTTTTCAGAAATCATTTTGTCTTCATGGGGGGGGAACAATATTAGAAAGATTTTAAGCATTTTACAGTACGTGCCACCTGATTATTATTATTATTATTATTATTATGTCCAACATCAAATATGCGTTTCTCTTTTGAAATTGAACCAATTGTTAATGTCTTCATCTCACAGTAAGCAAATACTAAGACACTAAAGATGATTTTACTTAACATTGGGAGCTAGTTGAGCTCAATGGATTCTCGGGGAGACCACATATGGGGCAAGATACCCGAATCAAATAAATCTTGGATTATACTCACAGAAGGAACAAGTTGCTGGATGACCTTGTAGAGGCGTTCCGTGTATGAGGAGATGGTGGGACATCCACTCAGGTTTAGCGTAAACTTGCCCAGTGGTAGCACATCTCGTCTGGCATACCTACAAAAAAAGCGGCTGAACAAAATCTGCTTCTGTGACTTGCAGCCAAGTAACAACGCATACACGTGATACATACACGCTGGAAATAAGATGCAGGATGAGGTACTCGGCAGCCAGGGAATCTCCCAGAAGGACATGAGTTAGATATGCAAGGAAGTCCCCTCTGACTGATACCATCTCATTCAAGGTTGAAGACAAAACTAGAGAGGGGGGCACAATCCAAAGTTAACACTGGACATACATTATTGATTAAAACAGACTTTTCAATATCTAGTAGACCAAAAGTTGGATCTCTGAAGAGCGTGCCCATCTGCTCAGTGCAATATTACATTATCCCTCTTATTTATATGAGTAATATGTATTATGTGTGGAAAGAAAGCTGTGCTGCAGTTTATACACTGGCATATTCAATAAAGATTCAATTTGTGAAAAAAAAATTGCAGTTAAGATCACGGGGCTCAGACAAGGACTTTGCTCACAGGCGTGATTGTCTTGCAAGGATGCACAGGGCAGCAGAGGGTTGTTTTGTGCCAGTGGTTTGGCATAGAGCATGTGGAGACGAGGAACCAGTGACGCAGGTGGGCTGTGCACTCTCTGCTCCTCGGCTGTCTCCATTGAATCCGAAGCGTCGATGAGTGATGAGGACGCATCCCTGTATGGATGTACAAAGCATCAACGACAGATGTCCAGGTCACCATTTTCGAAGCATCAAACTACTCTAAAGAGTGTCTTACTTGTCTTCTGCCAGAGCGCCGAGAGCAGGACTAACTGAGAGGATCCCATAGACTTCTATGGTGTCATTCAGTTTGAAGCTCTCCCAGTCCTCGTAGACCTGCCAGAGGCACACCTTGATTTGTGGCCTTACACGCGCTTCAGTCCAATAATAAGTCAAGCATAGGGCTCGACACAGATGGATTATATACCTTGATTAAGCAAGATGGGCCTTTCTCATCTGGGAGAGGGAAGTTGAGGTCAAGTTGCGAGGCAGACGCTGTGTAGTTCAGAGCAACTTCCGTCTCTTGCCGCCGGGCGTCACCTGTGCAGTGTTGGTCTGGCGGAATCTGAAGACCTGCACGGACGGGAGCAATTTCATGTCAGTCAACACGGCTTAATTCTCAAATTATTCGTAATCAAGGGGTGACCAGCAATAAAAAAGATGCTGGTCTATGACAAAAGGGTCATATCTTCTAGTCCTAAAATATGTATCCTGGGACTTGATACAAATGCTGAAATATCACACCAAAGAAGAAATACAGTACTTCCTACGTTCATTACCTCAGTCCGGGGACACACTGTTTTTAGGTAACGAATGGGACACAATTAACTAGTTTAGTTTGTGCAATGGTAAAAGAATATGTTCTCCAGTAACACAATAAGGAACAATCAGTTATCGCCATAGTTACTATTTTATTCCATTTGATTACTTTATAATTACTGCCTTCAAGTGTTTTTCTTACAAATATTGCAGGCTGCCTTCTGTGTTAGCAGAAGTTGGCGATAGAGCACGGTGTGCTCCCAACTTCAATTTCAGGTTGTGTCCAATCCAATGACGCCTGTACAAATGTGATATTTCGTGTTTTGCAGACCAACACTTGCATTGCCGTTTGGAAAATACATAAATAAATCAATAAAAATCACAGGAGTCATTGTTACATAAGGCAGTAAATAGTCTTAACATACAATTTGTAGGATGACGTAAAAATAACGATTCCACGAAATTTTGGTGTCGCATTAGCCAAGGAATAACCCATTCAGTTTTAGTAAGAATATGGACAAAAGGAATGAATACAGGAAAATATTTTCAATGCAACAGTCAACCTCCAAAGAATGATAATGGCACTGTCTATTTGTCATCACCCGTGACCTATAGTGCCCCACTTACTAACAAGAGTGCATGGACACATTTTCTCCCCACTATTGGTAGAGGCTGAGATGGTTCATGCTGTAGTCTACAGAGTGACATTTCCAGTAATAGGTCATGACATCATTATCAACCCAAAAATGTAGTCTGTAACACTATTCTCATACCTGTATGAGGTTCCCTTTGTTTCTGTGGCTGAGCATCGACGCCATCCATGTCATCATCTTCATAGCTGCGCTTTTGTCTATTTGGCGCGTACGAGGTGGACGGCAGCACTCTTGCTTGACTCGAGGCAGCATAACAGTGCAACAGAGTTAAGGGAAACTAGGTAAGAGTGGAATGAGACACACTTGTTGTTTCATCATGGTTCATGAATCAGACAAGGTCAGGATATATCTTTCACCCAAGCATTTTCCCCAGGAACAGGTACACAGTAGAAAGTTTGTCTTTCGGAAGTCACAATGTTTTTGGAGTTAAACTCCACCTGAGGATGTATACAAGAGTCAGTGAGTTGGGACATTTATGGATCTGGCATGAACTAACCATGGTGGACTTACCCCAAATTCTGTCACGTCTTTGTACTTTCCACACCTTAACACCTGGTATCAGTGAGAAAGCAAAATAAACAGTAATTAATATATTGAGAGTAGGCACGGGCCGATATTAGATTCTGACTGGATGATAAGGGTGAGCAAAAGTATTACGGTATCACGGGATTAAAATTACAGCCCCAAATTGTGCTTTTTTTGAGGATTAAATAAAATAGCATTTCCCATCCCACTGAAGATAATATAGAATATTTGGTACATTACCAGTGCCATGTGGCATGCCATGAAGAAAGGAAGAAAGACAGAATGAAAGAATGATGAACATTCTTCCTTTAGTTTAATTCTTAGTAAATCACAGTGTCTCATCAGTTGAGAGCTATTTTTAGAACAGAGGGCTACTCATGTTGTCATTGAGCTAACTAGTCCCCACTGGCGCCATGTTTTAGTTTTTTTCCCTTTTTTTCTGGCCAATGCACATTAATCGACATAGCCTCCATAAGTACGTTAGAGTTCTCTCTGTCATTGCCCTCTGTCTTTCTGCTCCCTCCCTCCCTCTCATCCCTGGTTTATTTTAGTGGTGCTTGAAACCATGACTTTTTAAAACCACCGCAAACTGGTAATCATCCCATGTCAGATTGAGCATACAGTCAAATATACTGTGAATATGTTAAAAAGGCTGACTCAGAAAGGAATAGACGGAGCTCACTTTAGCTTGTGATGATGCATCGATAGTTTCATACACTCCCATGTAAAACTCTGGATCGAACATGTCCTGAATTAAACAGCGGAACTTGACCAGGCTGTTGGGCTTTAGGTAGTGCAGTGGGATGTCATTCATTGATGGAACCTTAAACAATAGGAATACATTAATATTTTCAGGACAAAGTATGCTGTGACAAGTGCAGGATTATTCTCAATGTTACCCATGTGTGAGCATCCTTTTCATTTAAATGACCTTTGAAGAATTCGACCACTTTTGCCTCCCAACCAGAATTCGGGTTGTTCTGAGATCCAGCTGAAATACCAACAAGAGCACATTTATATATGAATTTTGATCAGATACATGGGTCGAGGTCTCTGGAAGACAAGTGCATATTAAACAATTCATAATAACTGACGCATCAGCATGTGAGTAAACTTTAATAAACCCCATGTACAGTATAGAGTCATATCGTAAAATATATTTTTGCACAGAAAAATACTAGTGACACATTTATAATGAATCAACGTGCGTCAAGTGGATTCTTACCAGCTACTGCATTGTTAAAACGGACGGTTTTGGGGTCTCCATGACCCGGAACCCTCATAATCATGTGTTCCGTATTGTCAATTCGAGTGTGTGTGCGTGGACAATGGTCCAAACTTGAGAACCGTCATCTTTCTTCTACCAAACTCAAGCAGCGTTACGGCAACCGATGTGAAGCGGTGTTACTTATTTAAGTGATGGAAAACAGGCTGTGTGCTGCCTCCGATGAAGAGAAAGAAAGTCACATGAGTAGACAATGGCTCCCAAGCTAACCAGCTACACTCACGCGCTGAGCTTTAATGTTGAATAGGGAAGTTAGTGTAAGGGTCTTACCAAACATCTCCTCGATAACATCCAGTGGGTTGTTAATCCAGTCATGTGTGGAAGGCATCGTTGCCATAGACGAAATTTTGATGTATGTGAATGAATTCAACCAGGTAAAATAAGTTACTTGAATTGAGTTGTGACAGGATGGCAGAAGAAGCTAGGGCGGGAAACAAACGTCACTGGGTGAAGGCAGGAGTGCGTTTGTTTGATAAACTGAGACCTCCCGGAGTAAAAGGAGTATAGCGGTCACTTCTGGATTAGGTTTTTGTTTTGTCTGTTTTATGTTGTTTCTGGAGCGACGCAAATTTAACCACTATGAGAAAATTACACACTAAGCAATTCCGATTATAAAAAATAAACTACAACTACCACTGAGTAATGAATACTTCCCGCCAACAGATGGCAGTAAAAACGGGACGTTATCTTCTCTCCAAGCCAACCAACAATCGCGCAATTTTAGTAAATCTCTATATGATACGGAAGTTGATATATCGGCGATTAATGAGCGTAATGTTATAGAAATCAGTCACATCCTTGCCGCAGGCGATATCCGATTGAGTATGTCGCGTTCGCGTTAATTCGGAATTCGGCAAACTGTATCGTGATGGCAGGTGGAAATTTTGGATTTACCGTTGTGACATGGCGTGACAACCTAAACGAATGTCTGTTATCACGCGTTTCTGAACGAGTTTACCGCCATCGACCCACAATATTAAACTAATGCAGACTCATGCTTTATTTTTACATTCTACAGAAAATGGGACTATAGGGTATCAATATCAACATTTGTATTATTCTTATTCTTATTTGGTAAACGTTGACTCTCTTTCTTCCCAGGAGATTTGAACGCATCATGCCCAAACTGCCTGCCTACCCCGGTAGTGGCTACGTGTAATTTAGAGAAAAATGGCAGATAGAAAAAACAATAATGTTCCTAACCCCGGTGCAAATTTGTTATTTAGTGGGGCTCCTGAGTTTAACTTCAATTTGCCCTTTATGCCAGTGAGTCAGGCCTCTGGTCCGGCGGTGCTGTCGGGAGGTAAGAAGAAATACCGATTGCCGAAACATTAGCATACAAGCTAACTAGTTAGCAGACTTCCTGTTGGGACGTGAACTGTTTTTTTTACTCCACACGTCTGAGAAACTGGAAGGAAAAAGAATATTGTCAAGTTTTATTTGTCTGACAGGTTAGCCCCAATTTGCAACCATGTGATGTGGCCAGAATTTATTCTAATCTCATTGACATGTACAGTTCTGTTAACGTTAATCATTGTGAGTTCTCATGTATGTTAAGATGAGATTCTGTGACGAGTACCAAATTGCACTAATTTCTATAAGTTCTTAAATTGTTTTGTTTGTTAACAGAACATAATTGGTCTGTAAATTGGTCTGTGAATTAGTAATACTGCCTTACATTTTATTTTAAATTGTCATGTTTTGTGCAAAACGTATATAAACCAGTTCATGCTTTAAATGTGCACTATGATATTCATCAGAGGATTCTACTGAAGTTGGCGAGGAAGACAGCTTTCTGGGTCAGACTTCTGGAAATGTACAAACTCCTTCTACCTTCAGCTACTTTTCTAACCCAGTAACCAGCAGTGATCCGTTTGCTTCGATTGGCCAACCATCATCCCCACCCCCATCATCATCAGCAGAAGCAGCCTTGTGTGCTGTCACGCAGTCTGTTCCAAGCAGTGTGAACATGGCTCCTCTGATGCCTCCCAGCTCACAGTTGAACACTACTTCCCCTGTTTTCGGCAGTACAGTGTATCACAGCCCAATGGGGCGCCACACTCCTCCCCCTAGTACAATGACCACGCCACCTCCGCAGATGCAACCACAGAGTCATAATCCCTATAGACACACCGCCACCAGCAGCAAAGCCAGTCCTTATATTCCAGTTCCAGAGGTTCTGCCGCAAAGCCACGCATCACAACACAATCCCTACTCTGTCACCTCAGGGTCGCAATCATTCCCACTGTCCGGACCCACATTCACAAAGGTAAACTTCATCAGTGACTGTGCTGGAATACATTTGTGAGCCTAAATGCCTTGGAGGTAACTATTATGCATATAAAAAAGCATTTTCTATTCTGCTCCATTCAGCCTCCTCCCGCTCACGTGCAGGCACCACCACCACTTCCTCCAGCCAACCCTGCTGGTGCAGTCGTGCCTGCTGGCCCCATGATGCAGTACAACTACAATGTTTATGAGCCTATTCAGCCACACTGGTTCTACTGCAAGCTAGTGGAATCCAAAAATGTGTGGCTTCCTTTCAGCATCATCGACTCCCTCCAGCTTGAGGAGACTTTTAACTCTGGTACTTCCTGCACGATCATTTTTACTTAACATCCCTTATTGTCACTCATTGTAATCTGGTGAATCAAGTAGGAATTCGGAGATTTAAAATGTGCACCGTTTTATTTCTCTAGTTCAGCCAGACCCAGAAAATGTGATCGTGCGTACAGACGGTGGCCGGTATGATGTGCATCTCTATGACCGCATGCGATCAGCGGTCTACTGGGAGGAGGAGGATTCGGAGGTTCGCCGCTGCACCTGGTTTTACAAAGGAGATACGGATAGTCGCTTCATCCCTTACTCTGAGGAATTCAGCGACAAACTAGAGGTTTGTTATCCAACTTCATTTGCCTGGCGCTAACTAAAAATCATGACTGTGTAAGTCACATTTGGAGTGGTCAACCTTAAAATAAATGAGTACCCACCAGTTAGTTTCCTTTTCAGAATCAATATTCACATAAAAAAAAAAATCTTCACTGAAATGTGTCTAATTGATTGCAACACACGTTAAGAGGTAAAATGGAGTAAACACCAATGAAAGTAGAGCAAAGCTACATTTGAGATGAAACAAATATATGATTCACTGGAATTCATGAAGATCAAAATTCTGAAAATTGTTGTGTTTTTTACATATGGATATAACTTGAGGGTACAGACCCTGTCGCCAGACTTCATTCTTTCAGCGAACCGAATTACTATTACCCTACAACAACTGCGTGCATGCATGTGTGTGTCTCGAGTGCAAGAGTGCATTGTTCTACGCATTCTTTGATAGAAACATTCGCTTAATTCCAAATAATTATTTCCGGCTTTGGAAAATACCTCTCACAATTTATAACGTTATTCAATACTGTAAAAATGTTGTGATGTGTTTGTTTCATGGGGTGGATCATAACATTGGTATACTCGCTTGCTTCGTTGCAGTTTTTGCTAAATCGGAACAATCTGCACAACACCTCACTCAGGTTTCTCTTTTCTCCAAAACACCTCCAAAAACTGAAGGATTATTTTTTTTTCTTTTTTTCCTTTACGTCTGTCGAATGTGTTCTGCAATCCTTTAACTTACGCCTTGTATAAAAATGACCTGTGAACATCTCAGTCATGACTCCTTCCCTTAAATGTTTGTCATTGGCTGTCTCTACATGAAATGAGGGCTGCGATTGGCTGGCTTTAGCATTGCGTTCAAGGACAAGCATAAAAACGAAGTGTGCATGCAGGGGAAACCTGTATTATTGACTTTGAGATATTAATATCTTGAATTTTCATATTTCTATGACAGCGATAAATTGTTCAGTCTGACAGCAAATAGGACCAGCGACATCAGCTGCAGTTTAAGGGGTCATCAGAGGGACGTGCATTGCCAATACATATACACACACTTCAAACTACTTCGTGACCGTCACAGGTTGATGTAGATTATATTCCCAACAATCAAACACCATTTTTTTCTTCATCTTTCTAATGTCTGAGTGGTAAAGAACGCCACAGCACTATGTCTTTACCCAAAATAGATACAATGATTAAAAAAAAAAAGTTTGTTAGTGTTTGGAGATCTGTGCATCAAGTTTGGGGGGGGGCTGGGGCACGGTCCCCCCAAGTGCTGAGTGTGCTCATTTATGTTCATCACTGAATGATGTAAATTTCATTCAGATTTTTATTTCCTCAGGCAGAATATAAGAAAGCTGTATCTACCAACCAATGGCACCGTAGACTGGAGTTCCCTTCTGGAGAAACCATTGTCATGCATAATCCAAAGGTAAACCTACTAAAAGTCTCATTGGCGCTTAAACGTTTTTTTCAAAATTAGAAAAGTGCTTTAAACACAGGATTTATTATTATTATTATTTTTGCTTTATAGCACAGTCACACCTTCGTGTGTTATAGTGCAAGAACTTTCTTTTGTATATATTTGTATACATATTTACCATAAAGATGGAAGCTGAAACGTGCCGGACCTTGGAAAAGTTGTGTGAACTATGAGAATAGGTTGAGGTGATAGCCGTGATTTGACGAGTGCCAAAACTTTGTTGTCTACGTTTCTGTAGGTGATAGTGCAGTTCCAGCCCACCTCTATGCCTGATGAGTGGGGAACCAATCAGGATGGACAGACCAGGCCCAGAGTGGTGAAGAGAGGGGTTGATGATGACCATGATCAAGTCCCCGATGGTAGACAAAATCCTCTACACAGCTGACTTAGCCTTTGTCCACACGTAAACAGATATGGCTCACGGTCGAGAGATTCTGGGCTCAAATCTCAGCTCAAGCCTTCCTGTGTGGAGTTCACATGCTCTCCAGTGCTTGCATGTTTTTTTTTTTTTTTCTGAGTAGTTTTGCGTCTTCCCACATTTCAAAGACATTCCTGTTAGGTGAATGAAAAAGCTCATTGGGGTAGAACCAAAATCCGAGACGCATAAAAAAATGTGCATTTATGAAGATATCAGTGTACGTGTGGCGATGAATATAAAACTAAATTGTAGCAAAGTTCAGCTTTTTTTCCATGGAAGGGAATTGTAGTTCCTTCATCTTAGCACAGGAAGAAAGCTATTATTTAAAACTGCTTTTTAACGCATGATAGGTAAAGGACCAGCTCTCTCTCAATATAAACAGACAATAGTACTGTGAAATACCTTTTAATGCATCATGACCAAACGATTGTAAAGGCCTTGACAGAGCAAATCCATTCTCTCTACCCTTTCCAGGTGAGCTCCCCAAAGTAGACCATCTTGTGTTCATGGTTCATGGAATTGGTCCAGTATGTGACCTGAGGTTTCGGAGCATTGTTGAGTGTGGTGAGTTGATGCCAGTATTTGTGCAGCCTCTTGGTGGTTTACATCACATCCCCCAAAATTGCCGTTGCAATAAAAACCGTAGTGCATCTACACATATTATTTAAGGGGTTATTTGTGCCAATAGTGCTCGAACAGGGAGTACGGCACACTGTAACAGTTTAGTTATAAGACATTGAGTTTCCTTTCAGAATATTTTTGGTCCATGCCAATACGACCTTCTACAATACCCTCACAAATGCGGGTAATTTGTCAACATGTGCACCAAAATGTGTCATGCAACAAATTCATTCATGTTGTAAAAATGAGTGCATGCAAATGTTAATTTAGTACTGACAGTGACACATTGTATATTTTAAGAGTTGATTATATTCCATTCGATTGTTCTATTGATGAAAAAAATAATTGTATCTAAATGTAATTTGCATTAAAATGTACTGCATTATTTTTTTCTGATTACTGTTTGGTAAAGGATGATTGTTGTTTATTTGGTATTGTTTAATGATTTAACAAAATCAGATAAACAACAATATCACACAAGAGGGAGCAAGGTTGTACTCACTGTTTTTCACACAATTACTTCTTGGGTACTGATTAATGTGAAGGACTACTAGTTTCATGTACACTTTTGAGAATACTTCGGATTTAGCACAAAGGATAACCAGTGTGCTTTCATGTAGGACTACAGAAACCAGATCATATTGACTGTTCATAGGCTGAAATGAGAGGATTTTGACGATTTTCATTAAATTATTTGCGCTAAATGCTCAATCGATTATCAATTAATTTTGACACCTCTAGCCAAATAAAATTTTTTTCGCACTCCTCAAAATTTGGAAAATTGTTCTTGTATTCACCGACAAATTATGAAAGGCTGACTTTTCTTGTTCTTGATACTGTATGATAAATACAAATCACTGTGTTCTCAGTGGACGACTACCGCAGCGTGTCTCTGAAACTGCTGCAGAGTCACTTTAAGAAACCCTTGGACGATCACGCCATCAGTCGGGTGGAGTTCCTGCCTGTCCATTGGCACACGGCCCTCCATGGCGATGCCACAGGGGTGGACAGGTGAGGAGACCTTACATCCTTGAGATGCTGTGCTATACAATATATCTAATACTGGAAAAGTAAAAGTGCAGGTTTGTAATTTTACTCGACAACCTTTTCATTTCTCTTTGCAGGAGAATAAAGAAAATCACTTTGCCCAGCACGGGACGATTACGTCATTTTACAAATGAGACCTTGTTAGATGTGCTATTCTACAACAGTCCTACATACTGCCAGACCATCATGGACACAGTTTCCTCAGAGATCAACCGACTTCATGCCCTGTTCATGAAGAGAAACCCTGATTACAAAGGAGCCATATCAGTTGCCGGGCACAGCTTGGGTAATGCACTACTTTTGGAAAAAAACGAAAACTAATGTGCTCAATCTTTTTTGAGAATATGTAGAATGCAATTCTCAGGCATTTCTGTGTGGGGGTGGCATGTTTCCCCATGTGCATGTGTGCATTCCAAAAACATGTCTGTTCCATTTAAGACTCGAAAATGATCGAACATTTGAATGTGAGTTCATCGGTGTAAACAGTATGTCCTCTGCGATTGTCTGGCTTGCCCAAAGTCAGCAGGGATTGGCGCCATTTTACCCGCAACCCAAATGAGGACATGTGTTATAGAAAATGGATGGATGGACACGATCCAGCCTCAATTTTATGTCCCCTTGCACAATATTCTGATATCCATTATAAGGGCTGTATCAGTTATCTGGCCTAAAACGACAATAATGGTGACAAGTTCGAAGAGGTATTCATTTCTCAAAAAGTTCAGTATTACAGCTCATTATATTTTCAAGTGATCATAATGTTGTGGCTGGTCTGTGTTCGGAGAGTAAACAGAATGATCTTTTGATCAGAGGTTTTAGACACCGGCTAATTTCTTTCTTTTCTTGTTTCCTCATGCTTTGTGTCATTATGATTGATACTGTCCTTGCAGGGTCCCTTATACTCTTTGACCTGCTGTCAAATCAAAAGACTGACATGACCCCTTCTGCGGTGCCAGCCATGAATGGAGGAGCGCAACAGGTGAATGCCGTTTTAATTCTGTATCCATCAAGGGTGGCAAGCCATGAATAATCATAGCCAAATATGCTTCAAAGCACTTCAAAAGTTTGCCTCTGAAATCCAGGTGGCAGCTCCGGTTGCACCGGCCGTCACCCCTCCAGCTGCCGAGGAGGAGCCCAAAGAGGAGGAACCGGAGGACCTTTCCGCTGTGCTGGAACATCTTGGACTGTCCGAGTACAAGAGCACCTTTGACGAGGAAAAGATTGACATTGAATCTTTTGTAAGTGAAAATTAAATGCCTAATGAGAAGGCCCGGAGCAAACCGCGGTTTACTGACATGATCCCGCTTCAAATAGAGTAGGCCTTTTTTATTTTTGTGTTTACAACCGTGCCCCAAAAGGTATTTCCGTGGCATCATAGGCAAAAGGTCGATCGGGCTAATTGTAGCCTTCCCATTAGAATGTGCAGCAGCTGCTCTAATTCAGCTTTTATCTCTGTGGGTATTGGAATGCAAAAGCAAATCACATTGGATCCATTTACGACAATAGTATTTCATTCTAATTGACGTTGTTGCTTTCATGATGCGGCATTGCGAGACGATTGATTAGCACGTCTACCTCAGTGCTGCGGTTTGGGTTTTGAAGCTCAGCTGCGGACCTGTGTAGAGTTTGCATGTTCTCCCTGTGCTCGCAAAGACTTTTTCTACATACTCCTGCTTCCTCTCCCATTTCAAAAACATACATATTGAAGACTAAATTGTCCTTAGCTCTCAGTGTGAAAGGTTGTTTGTCTAGATCAGGGGTCAGCAGCCTTTTGAAACTGAGAGCTACTTCTTGGGTACTGATTATTGTGAAGCGCTATAAATTTGATACGCACTTCTGAAATAACTATTTTGCTCAAATTACATTTATGTTATTGTTCATAATGATATTCATTTATGTGATGATCAGGTTAGTTTCTATTAAAAATCTCAGCCAGTGTTGGCATTTTTAGAACAGGCCTGCGGGCGGGCTACACCCTTGTGGGCTACCTGGTGGCAGCGGGCACCAACTTGATGATCCCTGGTCAAGCACTACGCTGACTCTTGCCAAAGTCTGCTGGGATTGGCTCCAGCTCACCTAATGAGGACAAGCATCATAGCAAAGGGCGGGATTTTGTTGTCACGAATAATAAGTGTGAATTTGACTTTGCTCATTTGCGTCTTTGCTGTTTATTTCTTTTAGCTCATGTGTACAATTGAGGATTTGAAAGAGATGGGAATTCCCCTTGGGCCCAGGAAGAAAATCGCCAAATTTGTCAAAGAAAGAGTCACGAAACAGGCAAGTTTGTCAAATTGGTTTTCCGAAAAATGGACCCCTTGAAACAATTGTATGACCAGCTCTTGTGTACTTTGGCGGCTGCTCAGGAGAAGGAAGCTGAGGTGCAGGTGGTCAGTCAAGTGGGAGAGCCCGCACAAGCTGCTGAGACCAGTCCTGACAAGATTCTGCCAGCAGGCGTCTCCTCCATCCACGTCGACTACAACTACTTTGAAGTTGGTACTGGACAGGTATGTGCGGTCATGTCGTTAAAGCACTTTTTGATTGGTTGTTGAAAATGTGAGTGTATCTACCTCATGCTTTGCTTCTCAGGTGTCGGTGGTCTACCACAACCTAGACTTCAGTCCAGTGAATTTCTTTGCCTTGGGTTCTCCAATTGGCATGTTCTTGACTGTCAGAGGCTTGGAGAAGATTGAAGAGGACTATCAGCTGCCAACTTGTAAAGGATTCTTCAACATTTACCATCCGGTAGGCATTCCTCCTCATTGTGTAGTGGGCCCTGAAGGATTCAGAAGACGGGCTTGGGGATTAATCGATTTAATTCATAAATCGATTGTTTTTTTTCCAAATGTGATGTCTGCCCTTAGTGACTTTTGTAGCCTGTTGATGCACACAGTTGGCACTGAAGACAGCCAACAGTGATGAGCTAGCTTACACAGAGGCAACGTTTCATCTGTCATTTGCATTTGGTTTGCTTTTGCCACGTCAGACGTTGAGCAAAATCCCCTCGCTGCTCGGCATGTTTAAAAGTTGTTGAAATCAAAGCGATGCGCTCGCCCAAAGCATTTCAGCATTTGCTCAGTTTCAGAAACGACTTTGTTCATGTCGCTGATGCATGGCTAAAATGACCGTACAGTTATTGCTCATAGTACCTCCGGTCGCTTTTGCGCACACACAACAGCCTGCAAAGGAATGTTGATGTGGACAGAATTTTGTCGAAAGCAGGCATGTACATGACATGGCATCGGTCCTCCTGTCTGACTCATTACTGTCTCTCACCTGTTTCAGTTGGACCCAGTGGCTTACAGGATTGAGCCCATGATAATACCAGACTTGGAATTGAAGCCTGTTTTGATTCCGCATCACAAAGGAAGGAAAAGGCTGCATCTCGGTCAGGAAAAAGACTTGCTTGCGTGGCTATTTCAATCAAGTCAAATGTGTTGGAAATATTTAAGACCGAAATTCTGTTGTTGTGGGCCCACTAACCCTTTGGGAATGTATGTTTGGTGTTTTAGAGCTGAAGGAAAGTCTCTCCAGAATGGGCTCGGACCTAAAGCATGGTTTTATCAGTTCGTTGAGGAGCGCGTGGCAGACACTCAATGATTTTGCTCGCGCCCACACCTCCTCTGCGCAACTTCAGGCAGAATTGGCTATGGTGGCCGATCAGATTGAAGAACAGGAGAAAAGAGCACAAGATCGTAAGCCTCTCTCTCTCTGTCTCTCTCTCTCTCTCTCTCTCTCTCTCTCTCTCTCTCTCTCTCTCTCTCTCTCTCTCTCTCTCTCTCTCTCTCTCTCTCACACATGTGCCGACTGGATGCGTTTGATTCATTTTGTAATGTTAATGCTCTGTTTTAGTTTCAGAACAAAAAAACCCAGAGATCCCTGAACCACAGAAAGAAGAAGAGCCTGAGGTCAGGATCGGGATGCTGAATGGAGGGAATCGGATCGACTTTGTCCTGCAGGAGAAGCCCATTGAAAGTTTCAATGAGTATTTGTTCGCCCTACAGAGTCATCTGTGCTACTGGTACACGACTTTTTTGTTATTCTAGGGTTTGGCAGTGCGTCTGTTGCATATACCACATGCAAAGACGGTAGTGCCATGATCACGGGTGAAAATACAATCCATGTTGCCTTCTTCTTAATGGGCACCTGGGTTTGCTTCACTCTAGGCCTGCACAATATATTGAAAACTATGTTCATCGCAATAATGGCCCGTGTAATATGCATATTGTAAACACATACAATCAGTTTCATATGGAATTGTGTGCTCTGACCTGACTTTGACCAATCAGATGCAACGTGAAATGTACATCGCCATCCAATGGGGGAACATGATGTAGGGGCATTACTAACACGAAATAACTTGAAAACACACACACATACAACATATACTGTGACAGACACATAGCTGTCCATTAATCCATCCTTCCATCCATTTTCAGCACCGCTTATCCCTGGCGCCTATCCCAGATGATTTTGGATGAAAGGCGGAGTACACCCTGAACTAATCTCCAGTCGCATGGCGCAAAAAGAGACAAAAGAAACATTCGCACCCACACCATCACTGTCAGTTAATACAATTAAATAATACATTAAGCCTGCTTATTTTGCTGGATGAAAATGTATTTTTTTGACTGGACAACAAAAAAGTCAGTTCTTTTGGTCTCGTGGTGCCCGTGGCACTTTCATTCGCACATCCCACAGTAGAGGGAGGTTGGGTGAGCAGTGACTAATTTGTATGAGACCGCTACTGCACCCCCTGGACGAGATGATTTCAAGAGGGTGTTTTAAATTTTGAAAAAAATGTGATGTTGCTTAATATTTAACATTTATGCACACTTTCTGCGTACAAGGAATAATGAATATTGAATTTGTGTTTTGTAGGGAGTCTGAAGACACAGCTCTGCTTATCCTCAAGGAGATCTACAAAAGCATGGGGGTGCAGCCAGAACATGGTACATTAGCACAATAAAACCCCATCACGAAAGACTTTTTCATTTGGATTATTTCATGCCTGGATTATTTGCCATTTCTTTTATTGTCTATCTCCATGATTTTCTGTAGGCAAATGTGTAATACAACCATATATATTATGGTGCAGACCCAATTCCAATGAAGTTGAGATGTTATTCTTAAACATAAACAAAAACAGAATACAACAATTTGCAAATCATGTTTGGCCTATATTTAATTGAAAACACTACAAAGACAAGATATTTAATGTTCAAACTGATAATGTTTTTACCAAATGATGAGTAACTTGGCTGCAACAAGTTCCAAAAAAGCTGGGATAGAGTCATGGTTACCACTGTATTACATCACCTTTACTTTTAGTAACATTCATGAAATGTTTGGAAACTGAGGACACTAATTGTTGAAGCTTTTGAGGTGGAATTCTTTCTTATTATTTTGCTTTATGCATAGTTTCAGCTGTTCAACAGTCCGGGGTCTCCGTTGTCGTATTTTACGCTTCATGATGCCCCACACGTGTTCAGGTCTGGACTGCAGTCAGGCAAGTCAAGTATCCGCACACTTTTACTATGAAGCCAGACTGTTGTAACTCCTTAACACATTGTAACTCCTTAGCACCGCATGAGGGATCGAAGGTCATGGGCATTCAATGTTGGTTTTCGGCCTTGCCGCCGACATGCAATGATTTCTCCAGATTCTCTGAATCTTTTGATGATATTGTGGACCATAGATGACGAAATCCCTAAATTCCTTGCGATTGAATATTTTCTCACGCAATTATTTACAGAGGTGAACCTCGCCCCATCTTTGCTTGTGAATGACAATGTCAATTCACAGACCCACTCTTTTAGACCCAATCATGTCACCCACTTGTTCCAAATAGGTGTTAGATGAGCATCCCTGCACGTTCTGTTTCCTTTGCCACGCGTCCCAGCTTTTTTTGAACGTGTTGGAGCCATAAAATTCAAAGTTAATGATTATTTGCTAAAAACAATAAAGTTTCTCAGTTTGTACATTAAATATCTTCTTTGTCATGTATTTCATTAAATGCAGGTAACATGATTTGCGAATGATTGAATGCTGTTTTTCCTTAATGTTTAACACAACGTCCCAACACCATTGGAATTGGGTTTGTTTTTGTCTTAAATTAAGAAAAGCGAATGCCATTGTAGATTTAAAGAGGTGACATGTTTATTATAACATTTTGTAGTATAAATTATACAGCTGGACAAGGAAAGGAATGTGTGTCATATGATAAAATGGCAACAGATAGCAACATATTAGCAGCAGTTTTTGAATAAAGCCTTCTCTGAGTCCAATGGGAAAATTGTCCAATAAATCATTTCCTTGCACATTTTCTTTGTGTTCAGTTGTTTGGCTGAGTGGAAGACAATATATACTACCCAAATTAACTAACTGTTTGATTTGGAGTAACATTTATGGCGATCACACAGAACTTCGCCCCGCTGCCTTGAAACATTTTCTGGACTCCTGTGTTGACCTCATACATCTAACATCAGCGGACAAATCAACAGTTAACATGGCCTCTGGAACATAAGTAAAAGAGTCTGCAGGAGTCCAAACATCGCAACATGGGCATGAGATCAAAAACAATCAATTCACATGAATAAAAGACAACATTTTGAAAAAAATATTTACAAGAATGTAGTGTTCCAACATAGTCCTGTACTGTGAATAAATACTGCCAATAAGCCTCGCAGGGTGTAAAACGACACATTTCAGAGAATTAAAAATTCAGGTGCCTTCGTACCTGATATTCGTTTTGCATGGTCACGTTTGATCTTTGCACTTTCAACAATCACATTAACATGCTTCTCTCTATTAAGATAGTGACTGACTGTCACAGAAAATAAAAAAGGTCCCTTTCATCAAACAGCTAATAAATAGAATACTAACTGAACAATATGGCTCCACAATTAACATTAAAAGTTGTTTTCTCCCAATTTGCAAAAACAAATAACTAGGTTTGCAACCCAAGAAGTGGAATTTCACCTTTGTTTAGGAAATGTCAACATGACCAACTGCTGAACTCTATTGACCGTGGTTACAGTTAAAAGGTAGCTCAGCAGTAGCGAGAAATATGGTGGGGTCGGGGTTGTCGGGTCCATTTCACAGCAAGTAAATGGTCAATACCTGCAAGGCGAACGACTTGCTTTTTGGAAAATGTGTACAAAACGCAGCAGGGTAAGCAGTGATTTGATCATCTGCTCTTTTCAGTTTGCCGTAGCTCAACTAGCCACGTAATTGTTCTTTGTACATTCATTTGTCTGCAGCTGTGCATTGATAATGTCAGCATCTCACAGGCTTTTCGCTGACGTGACACTGGACACGCGGCGAAGCTGCTCAGTCCTCTGCTTTGTTCTGAGGCTTGAAGGCCTGCTTGCGGAGGTGAGCCTCGATCTCCTCCCGGAACACGAGCATTCCCAGGTAAGAGTGAGAGGCCTCGTTCATGGCTTTGGACTGGATGCACATGCGGTACTGTTCTGGAGTTAGCTCGTCAGCGCACTGCTTCTCGTGCCATAGGTGAAAGAGAGTGGACACCGGCGTCCGGACCACCACTAGGTCACTCCGAAGATACTTCCTGTACAAGTGGACGTCTTCAACGCCCCAGCCTTTCACTTCAAGATCAAAACCCCCTGAGAGAGAGAGAGGGAAAATGATGAGTGACGTTGTGGGGAAACCGACGAGTACCGTATTGGCCCGAATATAAGATGGTGTTTTTTGCATTGAAATAAGACTGAAAAAGTGGGGGTCATCTTATATTCGGGTGCTAGCCATTATACCCATTCACGACGCTAGATGACGCCAGATACCATTGAAGCGAATGCTGAACTTGACTCCCCAGGCCAAAGCGAACCCCTGTCACGAAGAATAAAAATAAAAATAGCGGTAGCACGAAGAAGAAAATTAAAAATAGCGGTAAGAAAGAAAAGAGAAGAAAATAATAGAAGAGATAACAGAAAATGGAGAAACGTAGCGATAATTTGGAGAAAAGTGGGTCGAAGATCAGCCAGGTTAACCGGCAGCTGAGGAGAAGTTATAATGTAATTTACATTTCAAAAACCAGAAGCCATTCATTTACGAATGTGATTGCACTTTAGTTTACATATTTAAATGTTCAGATATTAAGATTTGAATGAGTCAAAATAACATGCTTTTTCTCTCAAATATATTGTTATAATCATTTGTTTCAGATGTACTGTAATTATTTTCTGTATAAAAATTAATTTGGTGTTCAAAAAGAGGGGGTCGTCTTATAATCAGGGCCGTCTTATATTCGGGCCAATACGGTAATACATGAAAAATCTGCCCTTACCAATACTTAGGAAATCAGAGCGATATTGACACGTCATACCGAAGCCAAAATCTCTCCAGAAACCAGCATCCTTTTTGTGAACCTGTTTCAAACAGACATTTATGCTCCGCATTCTTTTATTTACGTCAAGATGGCAGGATTAGACTGTATTCAGTCATCAAAGGTCTTACCAGCTGAAGTTCAACAGGTGGAGCCAGCTCTAAATTTCCATAAACTATGGCAGGATTGTACAGACTAAACACTACTGGATAGAAGACTTTCTTGTCTACAAAATAGAATAAGCAGCATGTTTAATCGCAAACCTGACAACATTTTTTTTTCTTTTGAATTCAAATGACAGATGTATAAGCATACTTGGATCTGCGTGGAGACGACACGTATTCAGGAAGTCCAACGTGAAATGGATGTCGACGTCACAGAAAAACATCAGAACGTCACCTTTAGTCCAAGCACGCGCGCCAATATCCAGGCCCCGCCCTCGGGAGAAATCCTCCTCCACCGGGATCAGAGTGTAATTAGAGAAACTCTCCTCTCTGACACACACACAAAAACAAACAAACAAACAAACAAAAAAAGGATATATTCTTTATCCTCTTTATGACATGCTGAATGACCATAGCTTGTTGTGAGCAAAAAGGACAAACCTTGACATTGTTTCCAAAGATGACTTCACCTCTCGGAGTCCCTCTTGGCCAAAATAAACGACTGTGAGGTGAACTCTCTTGTCCTGCTGTACACACACTTCCCTAAAAGCAGTTAGTGTTACACATTTGTCTACAACACCAATTACAAGAACAACAATTAAAAAAAAAAAAGCAGATGGGCGAGTATCGAATGAACAAGCGAGAACATGTCAAAAGAATCAAATGCTCTCACCTGAAGTTGTGTAAGAACTGTAAAAAGGTTTCTGCTCTGCCCGCCAGCGGCACAATGATGTTGATTATCATTTCCGTTGTGTCAACAGTCATGCTCCTGACTTTCATCAGTGGACCAAAAGGCCTGAAAAGGGTGACGTGGCGGAAGGTGCTGGACTCCTTTTTGGCAAAGAAGAGCTCGTAAAGTGACCCTTTGTCCCGCTCGGTTCTGTACATGCCTGCCGACCAAGGACAAGATGATAGCCGATGAAGGTTAGTGTGTGGATGTGACAGACAAGCCTGCATTTGTCCAAAAACAAAAAGCTCATTTTGAGCTTGCTTGAAAACAGTGATTGCGCAACAAGCATTTATTGGCTCCAACATACTGATTCATATGTACTTGGGAATGGGGGAATGAACCACATTTTGTTACTTCAACTAAACAAATAAATGATCTATTCCAGCCAATCAATAGAGAATCGGTTCTGGTTAAAATGAATAAGAAAGTTGTGATAATGTAAATGACAATGCTTTGAATTTGTTTTGAAGTCATATTATCCAGTGTTCCAAAAGATTTTCACATAATTTTCAGTTTTACCTGTTCATTTTATTTTTTAAAGGTGAAGAATGACGTTCAAGGCAATGAAAATGCATTTTGTGTGTTCATATGCTCAAACAAGAGTGTGCAGCTTGCATTTGAGGAAACTCAATAAAAATACAACTGGAATGCAGATTTGAACTTGGCACAAAATACCCCGAGGGGAAGACAAAATGGGAAACGTGTGTTGTATCATAGGCGGCGCCCATATTGAATAGCTTTGTGAAAATCTGTATCCGCTTGAATATATTGCTGGAATTATATATATTTTTTTCTTTACCTATGAGTGTTTTCGAACCTCGATGCATGGGATAACAATTAACACCTCTATATATCTTTAAGCAATGGATATCGGCACACATGCAGATAAATATAATACTCATAAGGCGCATGTTCTTTGTCCTCTGTAAAGAAAGACTAATCTCGGCCTTTCAACCGGAAATATTCTCTGATTTCTGTTGTCCTCAATGAAAGCAGATTGCTGATCTTTGCAAACATCTGGTTTTGCTCCGCAAAACAATGATCAACATTTTTGCCGATTCTCTGACATGTTATAGACCAAACCAGTAACTGAATCAAAATGAATTAATGTATGCATTTTCCGTGGTGTCAAGTTGAAATAATATCCTGTTTTTGGAATACAGGGATGGAAATTAAAACTTGTTGTTTTCTGGATTCATTCATAAGCCAATTATTAAAAGAATTGTTAGTTGAAGCCCGAGTCATCACTACACTGCTCATGTCATCAGAAGACACCTTAGATACGTGATGCATTCAGTAGTGTTGTTGGTTGCTTTCTTTTGGTAAAGCAATGGTACTGCTCAACACAGTAAATAAGCGCATTGTACACCTGTACAATGCGCTTATTTACTCCTATGCGTTAGTCAGCTTGTTTCAAGGAACATACGGCGATACCTTCTATGAAGTGGCCCTCTTTGTAGGCTTGCCTATGCATGGCCATGTCATCCTCCACACCGTCCTCCTCGTCGGGGTTGTTGATTATTTCCAAGGCGGCCTCGATGACTTCCACCAGTTCGTCCCGCCGATCTTTGCGAACGGGTTTCTCCTCCGGGTGCCGCGTCAGACCCATCTCCAGCTGGTAAACCTTGGAGGAGGTGAAGCTCTCAAAGGGCACCAGCGCGTACTCGCTGGGCAGGCGGGCCCCTGTGTTGACCTCGGCCTTGTCAATCTGAGAGTGCAGGTAGTCCAACAGATCTCCGGGCTCTTGCTCCTTGTTCTCAGCCAAGCCCTGCGCCTCGGGGAGCTCCTTCTTCTCCTGCAGGAGTTTCAGCTTCTCGCTCATTTCCTGCAGCTCCTGCTTGAGCTGCACAATCTGCCGCTTCAAGCTGGCGGCGCGGTTCAGGTGGCGCTCCTCCTGCTCTTGCAGCAGGGCCTGGTAGTACTCCTTTCCGTAGGGCTCGCCCGCGATGCCGGGAAGGACGAGGCTGACGTCGGGTTGAGGGGTGCACTCCAGCAGGTAGGCGAAAAACAGCAGCACCAGCAGCAGGAAGAGGCCCAGGAAGAGCCAGCGGACTCGGCCGTGGAGCAGCAACCCCCGTCTGGGCATCACGCTCTCATACAAGCTCCAGCTGGACAAGTCTGCATTCCGTTTCCTCTCTCACGCTCTCATTGACATCACTTTGGACATAATTCGGAATACACTTTGCACAGGTAACATTTTAGATTTTTTCTTGCAAGACATTTCAAGAACAATGTGTGGCAAACTAATTCTGGTGATTCCACTCGGAAGTCGCTTGAACCTTTTGGTAAAATAGTCCCATGTAAATCCATTGATCGTCACCTATGGAGGAGAAAAGAAAAATCCACATGAAGACCATGATGTGCTTAACCATCAATGGCAAACTACACTAGCCAACAAATGTTTACTACGAGATGAGAGCTAACTTTTCTAGATGTGTTTTTGCACTGATTCCCAATCTGCCCTTGTTTTTGCTCTGTCACATCACGTTTCATAATAATAAGAATAATTTAATTATTTAATATAGTAATATATTTCTTAATATTCATGAATTAAGGGTTAGGTACAGCAACAGATGGATTTTTTTTTTTAACTTCACAGCAATAAATTACAACACATGGTCAAATGTGTACTGCACAAGCTTTTACAGGGCAAACTTGAAAATTTTCAAAATCCTGATGTGCTAGGAAAAAAGTAGACATTTTTCAAACCAGCGTCAAAAATACTTTCAGGGACATAGAGTCATCTCTAATTAAAATGTTCTGTTGACCAGGGTTATTAAGCAAAGCTGGAGAGAATAAACATCTTCACAATGAATATAATGTTCTGTTTGGATGGAATCTGTTTAAAATAGGGGATGATTTATGTCACCTACAAAGTCAGACACTACCAGGCTGACGCCAGTTACATAACACCACAGTCAAACAGCACCACAAGGCTCCAAAATTGCCAGAAAAAAAACACACACACTTCTCTCAAACAGACTCAACTGTCCTGCTACGACTGCAACAATACAAATTTGCAGCAAGCTACTTCCTGTTAAACACGGAGTTAAAAAAATAAAAGCTCAACACTCACGCATAGAAACACTAATGTCAAATTAAGGAGATGATACAAGGTACCGGTAATACAATAGCATGATATCCAATTCAAGAGTTGTATCAAATATTCTAACTTCACAAAGATAATATTCAGCTTTGATTGAAACAGAGCAGTTGCAGTTTGCAGTGGAACTGCATCATCATGAGAGCTGTGGCTTCTATTTCTCACTAACGCGAGAGTCAAAAATACACAGAAAGTGTGTATAAAAGTGCAACTTTTTTAAGAGGTTCTCGACTCAGCTTTTCTCTTAATGTAAAATTGTGTAAAGGTTAGGCTTGAAGGTCACCTAATCAAGCTCGCAGCAGAGTGGTGTAATTCTTCTAACCTGACAGCTTTGGTCATGACCTGGCCTTTCTGGAGTAAATCAGTCACAGGGCGAAAATGAAAAGCAGGAGGACGCAAGCAAAGTCTACCAATGTAATTCTTATTTACAGCTTGAGAACACAATTATCTTGAATGTCCGTCAACATGCCATTTTTTTTATTTGATTGTAAAAAAAAATAAAATAAACAAGAGAAAAGAAATAGGAAGTGGTATTTTGACATGTGGTAAATCAACAGGGTTTCTTTCATGTGAACTTTGTGGGTGGAGAGGCAGCAAGTTTTGGATGGTGAGGCAGCAGGGTGCACCCAGTGTGGACTGATCGCCAGCCAATTGCAGGGCACACACGTAGACAGACAAACCACCATGACCAATCACAATCATACCACTGGACAATTTAGAGTCTTCAATTGCGCAACATGCATGTTTTTTGGAATGTTGGAACAAGCAGGCGGAAATACAATCGCATAAACACCGCATGGGTATGCAAATTACATACAGGAAGGAACCCTGAAACTCAGAAGTGTGAAATAGACAGGCTGCCACAAAACGACATCTTGAAAAAATTTCACAAAACCATACTGGACTTAGACATAGAGAAAGAGAGATGACAAACACGTTTAAGACTTGTATGGCTTTTCTTTGAGCTCCACACACATTCCAAAAACATGCATGTTCATTGTAGACTTTTAATTATCCATAGCTGTGAACAGTCCAGGGTGCAACCTGGCTCGAACTCTCATGAGGGCAAGCACGACAGAAAGTGGATGATGGATGGACTTTAGTCAGGTGATTTATCAACTGTACATCACATACAGTATCGGCCATACAAACCAGGTAATTAGTGGTGTCGGGCGAAATTTCTCATATCGTGCATCACTAATGTACGTAATTCCTGTGACGGAGCGTGGCTTCGGACTAACGGTGTTTATATTCTGTTTTATAAAAGCCGAAGTGAACCAACAATTATTCTGAACTGTCCAAACCGGAAGTCGCCTAGGTTGTGCTGTTGGCTTAGCAACGTTGGGTTATCTCTACGGTTTCCACTTATTTGTCTGTCAATAAAGCGTCCCGCAAGGCAAGTCTGTCGTGCAAAACCAGATACTCACGTCATCTTGTGCGTGTCCCTTGCCGTTTGCTCTTGAAGCTGGAGGTTAGGAGGGAAGCCCAGAGCGAGGGGGAGCCTGTGTTGCAAAATGCCACGGAGCAAAAAGAAGAGTGGCTTTGCATCCACTTCCGGTCCGCACGAGCCAATAGAACTCATAGACGTCACACTACACGTTGACGCTCGTGATAATAACAAAAATATAATTTTGTACTTAAAAATATCAACAGAAAACGCACGATGTCAGTGTATTATTTACAGCAATTGTTTGTGGCTTCTAGCGGAAACGGACGTGCAACATTTCCAACAACGCATATTGACCAGGTTAAATTCCATCCCAGTACAGTACTGACTGGACTGATATTGTTTCACTTCCATTTTAGACAGCATTTAAATTTGACTGATTCAGATAAAGCCTTCACCAAACCTTTGAATTCGAATGGATTCGTCTGATTTATGTATTTCACATTCGGAAACAGAATGTGTTTTGAATTACATCACGTGGAATTACGAATCATGTCCTGCTGCATGGAGGAAGTACTAATAAGAATTACATAATCGCAGTGATGCAGTGAGGTTTTTTTTTTTTTTATTATAATCAACTCCACCCCAACCCTCAAAAGAAAATGCACCATGAATATATTGTACATTTGTATTGTTTATTAACTGTAACATAATTAAAGTAAAACAGCAATGATAGCACTCATTAGTTTACATACGTTTTCCATTTACGTTTGCTTTTACACCGAGAGAGAGAGAAAAAAAAAAAGACATTTTGTCCAACAATGAAAATGGCCACAATTTGCATTAAGTCATCAAACAAAGTCGGACTATTTTACTGACATTTTTCATGTAATTAAAAAAATAAAATAATAATAAAAGTAAGGAGTCATTTTAACCTCTGTTTGGAAATGTTTATGAAACATTGTGTAGGTAGAACAGAAAATTAGTCTTTGGACATAGAAAGGAGCGCAGTCCTCCAAGGTAGAAACTTTACATTTTTTTCGTCCACGCAGTTCCAGCTGTCTACAGCAGATGATGGTAAAGGTGTCCCCTTTAATTCCTGGGCTGGAACAGTATCTTCACAGTAGCACATGAATATTTGGAGGCTAGTGTTGAAGCGGCACAGGCACTTAAAAGACATTGACACTGACATACAATCTGGTACAACAGTCATGCAAGTGATACAACGTGGCCAACATGACTGTGAGGTAATAATTAACATACATAAGAGTTGAATGAAACATGGTCTACTTTGATCCAGCTAGTTTCGCAGCAAAAAAAAAAAAAAAGACCCCAATTTGAATACCCGTGCAACAGAAATAAAAGGGAACCAACTTTAGAATCAGATTATATATACACAGTCTTATGGAAATATACACGTCTACCAACACATCTTTTCTACAATGTGGATTTGTCTTGTCACATCTAGCTATCAGGCTTGTCCACGGTTTTTGCGGATGAAGGCAAAGCCATCCAGTTTGCATAAACACTATCATTGGCATATCTTGTAAAGACTGGATTAGTGGCATCATGTCTGTTGAGCGGTACCGGGCTCTTCTCGGGCCAGTTGGGGTATGACATGCCTAAAAATGAGAACACATCATTTTTCTGCACTCAGTGAAAGATAAGCAGCGTGCAGACAGCAAGGCTTTTAAATCAAACTCTGCAGTGGCTGGGGTGGGGGTCGGGGCGGGGAGGGGCATTGTTGGTGGGGAATTAAAGTTGTCAGTTATACCTTGATCACCATTATCAATGGTAAGTCTTTGTAATGCATCAAGGCATTGCTTAATATTGCATTAGCAACCTGAACATTCGGTTTATTCAAGTAACATCGCCAAAGAGTTGCACTCAAAAGCCTTACTGTGTCTCCATTCAGTAATCATTATTAGAGTAACAGCTACACATGGGGAAAAGCGAAGAAAATCTACGACAATCTGAAATTCAAACAACAAGTAGTGATTTGATTCGGCTAGGACCTGTTTCAAATGTCACCGGTTTTTGGTTTCAGTGGCAAAAAAGGAGGACTTTATGACTCCAAAAAAGGTAAAAAAAAAAAAATGTACAAATAAAAAAGTTAATGAAGGGGGAAGGGTGTTAAATAAATTAAAAGGATGAGTGCATTCAGTATTTGTAAATGTTTTTGGTCAGCGTTCCTGTACATTAGAAGCAGGTCCAAATAAAACAAAATGCAAGACCACATATAGCATTGTATTTCATGGAGCCTCTAATTTACGATGAAATGGTCAGGAATAATCGGCTAAAGGCATGCCCAGATCACAGTCTCACACACACTTGACTATAGAAAGCCAAACAGAACTTGCTAAAACAGAGGGCCTGTTTGCCCAGCTTCTAAAATCGAGTAAATGCATGGGAAATTCTACCATAGAGCTTGTTTTCAATCCATGTGGAGGGGAGGGTTCGAGGGATAGGGGCGTTATTACAGTCCACAAGTGGCGTGTCCTCTTCGGAGAGTGCGTCATCGTACAGTAGGGCGTCAGCAGGAGTGGACGCTGCCAGGTCCAGGTAATCCTGACAAAAGCAGATCAAGGTGTGATTAGACTGATTAGGTGGGGTGGACTGAGGTTTTTTTTTTTTTTTTTTTTTTAATCTCTCTGCATTAATTAAGCTACAACCCTGTTTGAACAAGACAGAATCCGGGCGCAGTGCTTTAACTGCATCTTTGCCAAGGCCACATTTTTTGTTATTCAAAAAACAAATGATAGGTTTTAAAGCTTATCGGTCAGACAAATGGAGCCTGAGGTTACATAACGTTGGACCAATAGCTTTTCTGCAATGTAGTTCTATATCACATGTGTCAAAGTCAAGGCCCGCGGGCCAGATCTGGCCCGCCACATCATTTTATGTGGCCCGCGAAAGCAAATCAATCATGTCAACTTCCATGATGCTTGCTGAAGTCTGAACCCAAATTCCAAATTTTCAAATGTAATCCACAATAACAGTCATTATTCTTGATTTCGGATTTTAAAAATAGTTATTCATCAATTTGTTGTGTGCTGTGTAAGTAATATGTGGAGGGGATTCAACATTTTAACGGTTTCCCAAAATTCATCACGGCCCTCCAAGGGAAACCGTAACTACAATGTGGCCTGCGACAAAAGCGAGTTTGACACCCCTGTTCTATATGAACAGTATAGGTGTGCAGTTTGCCTGAAAACATGAGTTTGCAATATTGTTTTCCTACCACATTCGTGCATTTAGTTTTACTTGTATAATTGATGTCATCGTAGATTTTTTTTTTAAGGCAAGAACTCGAAATGGACACAACAAGCCTCACTGCAAGGTAATAGAACCAGATCAGCAGTCAATCAGAGAAGAAAAGTAGTGCTCATAACGCAAAAGTCATTGTTAAATATCATAGGAATAATTGCACATTATTTGTGCTCTTGAAGGAGATTTGATTGGTAATGCTTCACCATACCCGACTTTTAACCATCATCTTTTCCAGTTCTTTGCTGATGTCAGAGAATGTTGGCCTCTTGTCTGATTCTTGTTTCCAGCATCGACCCATGAGGTTATACCTGCAGAGGAAAGATTTTTGCAGTTGTTTGCGCATTTATTTGGGGATTTTCCCAGCAGAGTGCATCGTGCGATGCCTTGCACTTGTCAGATGTTGCAAACTAACAAAGAGGAGAGCTCACATTTCCTCAGAGCAGTTCTCCGGTCTCTCCATCCTGTAGCCAGTCTTCAGCAGGTTAAATAGGCGTTCGGGTGCAATCCCTGGGTATGGATTACCTCCTAATGTCACAATTTCCCATAAGAGCACACCAAAGGACCAGCTGGAAGAAAGAAGAAACATTCTAGTAAACACCATTCAGCGTAATATCTTGGATAATGAAGCATTCAGAGTTATTTCTTCAAAAACTCAAACATGACGACTGTACTCACACGTCACTTTGTGTTGTGTAAATGTGATCAAACAGAGACTCTATCGCCATCCATTTAACAGGTATTCGACCCTTCCAAAAAAAAAAAAAAAAGATATCACAAGATTTGGATATGAATTCAAAGATGATGGGGAAATGTATGTTCTTTCTGTCTTCACCTTGCTCCTCTTAACATAAGAGTCCTCCTCATACACATCCCTGGAGAGGCCAAAGTCTGAGATTTTCATTTTCCTTCCCTCTGCTACGAGCACGTTTCGTGCTGCAAGGTCCCTGTGAACAAGCTGTTGGCCAAAAAAAAAAAAAAAATCAGAAAGCATCATCACAATATATCATGAAGATACACATGAAAAAAAAAAAGCCAAGTCAAACCTTCATTTCCGCTAAATACTGCATGCCTCTGGATATCTGCCATGCAAAAGAGATCAGGTCACCCATAGTGAGCGCCCTGTCGTCTGGGTTCTCTAAATAGCTGGAGTTTCGGTTGGCGTCCATTCCCATGAAGCTCGGGCCAACTTTCCGGCTCTCGCGAAGGAAGTTGCGAAGTGACCCAAACTTGGCATATTCCACGATCAGGTACAATGGACCTATTCAGAGGAAAAACAGTCTTTACACTCCATGCACAAAACCGGCTGTCACCGAGGAGCTTTGCTGAGGTCCTACCATCCTGGCTGCATGCTCCATACATCTTTATGACGTGAGGATGGTTCACTTGCTTGAGTAAAGTGAATTCGGACAACAGGTCCCGTAGCTCGCTGTGGGAGGCGTTTTCTATCATGGAGAATAACAAGGATTTTATATGAAGAAACCAACAATCAGCTCAGAGCATATCTTCAGATTGACATACTGGCCACAAGCATTAGGTACACGTCCAAATCCATTTTCAAATCCACTTATGTACCATCGTTACATAAAATAACCATAACATTAGGAACATCTCTCAGTATGATGCAGATTTCTTCTACGTCACTGCAAAATTAACCGTTACATGGACGTCTCTCTGACAGCGCGAGGGCGAGTGAGAGCTGTTTTGCTCCCCATCTGTTTGTTTTTAACTTTGCTTGTTTGTTAGTGAGAAGAATTTTGCAAAACCTCAACTGCCAAATTCCAAGGAAACTTGTGCACGTGTGGAACACGTTTGGAACATATATTACTTTCTTGTCTTGCAGTGAAAGTGAACTATTTTTCTTCTTATCCTTGTTCAAAGCATAAAGATGGTTTCGATAAGCATAATGA